TTAATATAAAATAAAAATTCATTTAGGTAGAAATAAACAACAAAATACGAGTGTCAGGTTTTTTGTCTTTGATTGTACATTTATTTTAACTTCATGGAACAAGATTAATCATTAATAATAATCAATAATCAAGCCAAAAATAATCAATTAATCAACAAAAAATTTCAAATAAATCGTTTGACTCATATCTACAGCCAGAGAAGGCAAGAAGTAAAGTAATTCCTCTCTGAAGTAGGATTTAACACGTCCAATCACCAGTTGGGTGTTGCGGACAACAGGTCAAACCACTTTACAATTCATTCATACTATAATCAATTTAAAAAAAACCATGGGCTCTGCTGGGATTGGAACCCAGATTAGCTTGTGTGGCTAATGCAAGTCAGACGACCTAACCACTAGGCTACCATGGTCCACGCATTTATTAAAAGTAACTGATTATATACATCTATGATGAAATCATTAACAATTCATTGATCAAAAATACATCAATCCACTAAGTGTTTATAATCAACTAATCATCAAAAAAACTTTCAAATAAATTTATATTTTATCTGTGTCTACAGCTCACAGAAAGTAATCACGTAAACTTTTCACACATTGAACACACACTTTTATTTATGTACTGTTGTATGTATATTGACTCAGAATTCATAAGTAAAAATTTCCAAAAATACAATAAATTGCAAATAATTAATAAAATCAATAAATATATATACATATATCCCATCGGTGCAAAGATATGTGTTTCAAGCAAGCAAATATGCAAATTTTTCCAAGAACTTATATTTATTATCATGTTTATAAAGCTCAGAAATCAAACATTTATTTCAGTCTTCCCGCCATCCTACTGAATAAAAACATATGTAAAAGAAATTTCACAGGGAAACCTTAATCTTAGTGTAATTTCCAAAAACAAGGCAAACAGAAAGATTACATTGTTTAAAAAATGTCAACGGGAGAAAAGTTACTGTATTTTTTCTACCGAAAAGAGGAACTTAATTTATTCTATTTCAATAATTTCCGAGTAAATAAATATCAATGCCAATTAACATAAAGCTTAAAATTTTTAAAAATTAACGTAATTATAAAGAGATGTGAATATTTACAGAATGTAGATAGATAACTGCTTTTACTGTTTAAGAACAAATGCTATGTTCCTCTGGATATCACAGATTGCCAGTTATCTGGAAATACACTCTGAACACAAAACCATGGCCTCTCCACTGGGCTATTAATGCACAATGCACTGAGAAATATCAATAGTTTTGGATCTTCTTTTGTCAGGTTGGATTTAGTGAATCATACAGCCATGATTATTTTCAGGCTTTCGTTCCCAAATTGAATGGAGAAAAGTAACAAAGTAACTTTCTCTGCTCACAAAAAATAAATATTTTGTTTGTACATACTCTCCATTCTATTGCGAATTAAATACCTTTGCGAACAGACAGAAAAATGAATGGAAATAAGATAGTAATATAAAATCTTAAAAGTTTCAAATTACTTGTTTTTTTGTTTGTGTTTATTTTTATTTTCACAGTTGTTTATTTGAAGATGTGAAAACAAAATGATGGCCACGTTTAACAATTGACATAGTAATTTTCTTTCTTTAAAAGTACATTTAAATAAAATGATAATTATTTTCAGGCTTTCGTTATTAGATTTTAACTGTCCCCTACCACATTGCTGTATGTTAAGTAATGTGTACAAATACAATAAGTATTTGTTTTCATTTTTTAACATAATTATGTGCAAGAAGAAATGGTTATTTGATGTGAGAGATTATTTGTAAAGACGTTTGATTTGTAACTCAGTTTCAGGTTTACCCTCAGTTAGAATGAAGGTTTATTTCACAACACAACTTGATTGTTGCACAGCCCTTTATGTACACATTCTCCTCTTTCCTTTTTTATTCATTTTGTAATAATCTATAGTTAAGCATTAAATTTTATGGCTTATCATTTACCAAATATATAACAAAAAATGCATCTGCTGATTGTTTAACTACATTTCATCAAAGTTAAATTTAAAAAAAAAGTGAAATATAATAAATTCTAAGTCGAATTTTGTTAGAAGTTGTCGAAAGTTATTTTTTACGAAGGTTATTTCAAAATTGTTTGAAGTTTGGAGGCTAAATCAAAGTTGATATCAGAGCCTCGTTACCAGCTGGGCCGCCGGAGAAGACTGAAACACTGTGGACCTCGCTCCTTCTCTTCTTTTCGAGTTGTCTTGGTGACACCAGCTCTCCTGACTCCACTCTGCCTCTTTTTTTTTTATTTAATCTGTTTGTAAAAGTGATCAATACTCCTCTGTATCCAGCAGTAATTTAAAAAAAAAAATTCTATCTTTGATGCTCTTTTCTTTTTAGATTTCTCAGTCTGTCTCAGCTTCCTTTTAGTTTTACTATTTTTATATTATCTTGTACATAATTATTATTGTTATACATATTTAACCTCTTTATACTTGCCCTTGTTTACCGAGGAGAATCTGTAGTAGAGGAAATTTTTTTTTATATCATAAATATATAATAAATATACTGGGTGTCCCAGTTCCTTCTGACGAAACTCAGGGAATCGATTCTACTCTTCGTTTGGAGCAAAAAATGCTCAGGAGAATATTTTCGGAAAGTTCTCTATTTTGAAGATATTCGTCAATTTAGGTTTTTTCAATTTTTCACTACCTTACCACATAAAAATGTTGAGACTACAACAAATCCAATAACACCATTTGAAAGAACGCTAAATTTGCTGTAAGATACTTCTTTGCAATAATCTGAATGACATAAAATGTTAGCCGATATCAGTTGGAACTGATGAAGTTTTTGTAAAATTTGACAAGTTGTAGGTATTTTTTTGTAACCTCAGTAGAACGTGCAATCATGACCAAAATTTTAAATTTAGTAATTTTGACATGTTCCAACTGATATTGGCTAACATATTATGTCATTCAGATTATTGCAAAGAAGTATCAGCAAATTTAGCGTTCTTTCAAATGGTGTAATTGGATTTGTTGTAGTCTCNAATGAGTAATCCTGTAAACGTAAACAGAATATTTTATATAGATTTTTTTTAATGAAAACTTAAAATCCTGCATTATTTTCCGGACAACCCAATATTTACGCGCGGCACTGGTTAAGTGCACAACGTTAACCCACCCCCTCGGAAGGGGCAAGCAGGAGAAGACAGCATTTCTGTCGATTAGTCTGTGGATTTGCGGGCTTCTACACCGAACCTCACGGAAGAAGCAGATTTTCCTGCGCGGAGTTGAGTCGCTCCCAACTTGAAAATCTAAACATGTGATAAGGCCTAACGGCTAGGTGCTCACGCAAAAGAACCTCAATGTTAAAAGACATTGCATCCCCAGTGGGAAACGAATGTTGGATGCCAAAAAGATAGGCATAATTTAATGCTATTAAATGATAAAAGGCGTAAAACTAAACGGTACTGGAGAAGAAATTTATTTTCCAGTGGAATTCAAGTTGCTTTTAATCTCCTCGAAAAAATTAAAATTATTAGATTCCGTGGGTTTCAGAATTTAGTAAGAATGAGCTCTGGTGAATACTAAATCCTTCTGGGCACGGTTGGACAAAAGATTTTAAAAAACAACACCATGATTAGGAGGCCCATGACGGGACAATAAACTGAGCCAAATTCCGGAGCATGTAAAGATTAGACATGTTGCGTAACATTGTATCAGTTCCGTTTTCGATGGGGAACTTTTGTATCGCGACAGTAGCGTGAGAGGAAAAGATGTCCCGGAGCACGCCATTTCTTGTCGCGAAACACATGTTCCGCAACAAATGTCACAAGGTAGACAGATCTGGCGGGTTTCCTACTAACTCCTTATACAAAGCCAATGTAAGTCCCTTCAATTACGTGGCATACATCGTGCAACCTTTCTTCACAAGCCGACCATACTCGGGCTTTAGCTCAAAAGTAAGAGTCTATGTGTCAACCCCGCTCGTCAGGTAAATATGATCCCTTCGTCTTTTGTTAAGATTTCCCTAAGACTATATATCGACCGAGCTATGCATAGTGAGAGATTCTAAAACCGATCCTGTACACTCACGTTGATATCTCCTTTTAATTATGTTTCTATTGCATTTTTGGCGACAAAGGTTGGGAACGCGATGACCAGTTTCTAAAGTTGGGATGTACCTATTATTAGCCGCATCGTCCGCCTTTTTGTTGCTTTCCAGACCTATGCGTGCAGGGAACCAGACCCCAAATAGTCTGACAACTGCGTATTTCAGCAGCCCGCCTATTTCGTTGGTTTGTAACTAGATTTACGTAAGAAAGCTTTTAGGGAAATCATTTCTATGCATGCAGGATTCGGCCCAAAAGTAGGCTAGATACACATACAGATTTTCGAGTCTCAGTTTCGTGTTACTAGAGAGTGCGCATGTCTTGGGTTAGAATTAGGTTTGGTTAGGTTACGTTGATGTTATAATTGGTTGGTAGGGTTAGTATTATACTGTTAATAAATGTTTTCCTTTCTGGACATACAGAATTTAAAAAACTAACTGTTAGCCAAAAAATTAATACTTCTCCTATATTTATATTTTTTCTAAATATTTTTTTTCTACTGTGGATTCTCCTTGGTAAACAAGGACATAAAGAGATTAATTATGTACAATATAATATAAAAAGAATAAAAATAAAAGGAAGCATGCAAACAAACTGAGAAATAAATAAAAAAGAAAAGAGCATGAAAGAAAATAGAAAATTTTTTTTTAAATTACCGCTGGAAAGAGAGGGGTACTCTCCCATATTGAACACTTTTACAAACAGATAATCTTTTTTTTTAATGAATGAATACGAGGCAGAGTGGAGTCAAGAGAGATGGTGTCGCCAGGGCGTCATGAGAAGAGAATGAGTGAGATCCACAGTGCTCCTTCTGGTCTACCTCAGTCAAGCCGGGTAACAAGGCTCTAATGACTTTTATGTAGCCTCCAAACTCCAAACAACTTCATCATATAATATTAAAATTGTTTGATTTATTACCTGTACAGGCCAAGCAGCACCATCGCCCAAAGCACAGATTGTATGACCTTCAATTTGTTTGCTTAATTCCCATAGCATATCAATCTCACCAGGGTGAGCATTGCCAGTGATAAACCTAAAATATTCACAAAAATTATAAGACGATTTTTAAATAATGACTCCTTTTTTTTCAACCAAACCTGGTCATAATGTGTGGACCATTAGTTAAAAATTATGATTGATTATTACCTGGTCATAATCTTGTTCATCCAACTAATCCCTTCCCTGCATGGTGTGCACTGACCACAAGATTCATGCTTATAGAACATGATCAACCTCCATATGGCTTTTACAATGTCAGTCGATTTGTCCATTACAATTACAGCGGCTGTGCCCAAACTTGTTTGAGCAGCGACCAGCCCATCAAAATCCATTAAAACATCATTGCAAACACTACAATACATTAAAGTTAATAAAAATCTAATTAACTGATGTGACTGTCTTGCCTTTTGGGGATGACTGGTGTTGAAGACCCTCCAGGGATGACACCCAAAAGGTTGTCCCACCCACCAGTTACACCTCCGGCATGGCGCTCAATAAGCTCTTTCAGGGGAATCGACATTTCCTCCTCTACTGTACATGGGTATTTGACATGTCCAGAAATATTGAACAGCTTTGTTCCAGAGTTTCTCGGTCTTCCTAATCCAAGAAACCACTTGCCTCCTCTCCTACAAATTTCCTAAAACATTATTCATTGATTAAAACAGTAATTATGCAATGAATAAAATTTGTGATACATACAGGTGCCACGGATACAGTTTCAACGTTGGCGACAGTCGTAGGACAACCGAAAACACCTACATCAGCAGGAAATGGAGGTTTAAGCCTGGGTTTTCCCTGTTTTCCTTCGAGCGACTCAATAAGAGCAGTTTCTTCACCACAGATATAAGCACCAGCACCACGGTGCATAAAAACATCGAAATCGTAGCCAGATCCACAGGCATTCTTGCCAATGAGGCCCGCCTGATAAGCTTCGGCAATCGCAACTTGCATGTTTGAAGCTTCATTGTAAAACTCACCTCTAATGTAAATATAAGCGGCTCTAGCACCCATGGCCCTTCCTGCGATTAGACATCCCTCAACAAGTTTGTGAGGGTCGTGTCTCATGATTTCACGGTCTTTACATGTTCCAGGTTCCCCTTCATCAGCATTTACAACTAAATACTTAGGCCTGAACATTTTAAAGAAATTTAATTTGTGTATTATATTGTAGAAAAAATGTGCAACGAACCTGCCATCAGAAGGTTTGTTCATAAAGCTCCATTTCATCCCAGACGGAAAACCAGCTCCTCCTCTTCCCCTCAAACCACTCGTTTTGACTTCAGCTAAACAATAAACATTTAAAAATTGAACATACACTATATATATACTTCATATATCCATTTTTTTAGAGCAAGGTAATTATATACAGCAAAATTAATAAAGCATTTAAGGAAAGAGAATTATCCAACTTTTTTCCTGCTTTATTTTTGAGGTTTTGAACCACAAAGATTTCGGTTTAACAATGAACAGAATTAAGTAGTATTCATAAAAAAAACTTCACTAGGACAAATATAAGCAGTCTCTTCTTACTTCAATATCACTTCTCTTAAACCCAGCTCTTCTTCAACATTCAGTGATTTTTTTTTTTTTCATTTTAAGATATCAAATTGAATTTCAAGTATAAACAAGTACAAATAGATTGAAAAAACCTCTAGGGAGAAGTAAGTTCAATGTATCCCTTTAGTTACCTACTTATGTGCAATATAATAAACCTATTATTAAAGTTAATAAATAAAATTTATTATTAATTTAATTAAAATCTATTTTTAAAAAATTATTTATCTACGGGTTTTATATAAGTTTTTTTATAATTAATGAAATTTCTGTTCTGGAAACAAACAATAATTTCAAATTAAAAATTTGTCATTAAGATATTGCAGTCCTACTGTATCTTCATGAAACAAAAATATTATTAATACAATAAATAATATTTACAAGCAGTAATGAATGTAATAAAAGAACATTGGCAACGTCAATGGGTCAGATGGTCTGCGAAGCTCTTGTGTATCAAGAGCAGTACAACTCTGGTAGTCTGAAACACAAGGATCATGCTCACCCATTTGAGAATGGCCATATCTGAGTGAAGCGGACACCTACTTTTGTGGCAAACCCCACACATGGCCCTGCTTGTAGCAAAAGGTCGTTCAGTATGCCATACTTGGTTGAGGAGTGTTTAGGCATAAGCCCCTTACAGGGAACAAGTACACATGCCACCCGACAGTGACTTAAAGACAGTCCTTCGGCATGAGAGTAGGTCTACTGTTTTGATTTTTAGTCTGTAAATATTTTATATATTTTCGTGTACTGATCACTATTCATAATCTGCACACGCATACATGCTTGTACAGAGTTAAGTCTGTTACTTCTCACAGTCCACCAGCAATTCCAACTTTTGTAATTTACATTAAATTACCAGCAGGCCTTAAGAATCACCTATCTAGGTGTTGGCATCAGACCTTGAATCTTATCAGACCAGTCATCAAGGTTGGGCTCTGGGGTCTATGTACAACACCTTGGACATTTCAGCTCCCAATAAAAAAATTTAAATTCATTCACACTCTCACTCACTCTTAAAAACATTTTTTTCTTATTTACATGCGGGTAAGTCGATAGGGTGGGAAGGGGCATCCTGTGTTCCTGAGCAAGTTCGACCCTGGAGCTCTGGGAGATGCAGACTTTTCCAAGGTTGTTGCTTGATTGGTGGCTCATCTTTGCCCTGGAGTGGTGGGCTTCCTGGCCATTTTTGTGCTGCTGGCTCTCTGTTAGCCATCTTATTTCAAAAATAGTATTCCTCAGAGCCAATAGACACAGAACAAAGGAAAAATAAACACACCATTTACTCAGGGTGGTGGAATATTCAACATTGCTACATCCTCCTTTACACTTATTATATAACTAGGTTAACTGATGGTTGATGGGGTATGCAATTCTCTGATCCTAGGCACACAAAACTGGTAATACATACACAATAAAAACAACCCCTAAGAATTTAAACAGGGACCCAAATACTCGCTGTCATGCTTAAGCACAATTTTCATATCAGCATTCTTATAAACTCTCTATACCGAGTCAACGAATTGTACCCTTCAATTATGTGGGCTTTGGCCCAAAAGTAAGGGTCTGTGTGACAAACTTGCCCAAAGTAAAGTTATTAAGTACCTATAAGGGCTTCGGTGGCCTCAACAGTTTAGGCATTGACACAGAGCTCATCATTGTAAAGTTAGTGTCAGGTTGGAATCCAGCGGCCCAGCACACGACACTTTCAAATGGGCTTATTAATGAAAGTTATTAATGCTTCAATTAATTAAGGTTTTTCGTCGAGATAAAAAAGTCAAGGGACGAGCGGGATTCAAACCCACAATCTTCGGCTAGATACACTGCTGCTCTACCACTTGAGCTATCGTGACCTCAATCCGCTCGGACATTTTCCCCTCCTTTTTGCCATTTTTCGTGCCATTGACTTTTTTATCTAGGTTTTACTAAAAACCTCAATTAATTGTAATATATTAATTGGTCAAGCGGACAACGAAATTAGTGAAGTTATTAATGCTGTGTGAATGTTTTAAGTTATCTATTAATCATATCTAGTTATTTTGGAAACAAATAAATACAAGCACCTTTTTTTTTTTTTTTTACTTTGAATGTATAACTAATCTAAGGCCAGCACCACACTAGACTGATTGCAACGAAAGTTTCCATGACAGAAATTTCACGACGAAAAATCCACCCAACCCGAACAAGCCATTTTATACAGCAGAAATGTCTGTTTGGATATTCAGTTCATCGTATACAGAACAATGAAACCATTTTTTGTTTTATGTATTTACAAGGCAATGGACAAGCAGAATAGAAAGAGGGAACATTGGATTCATCCACTGAATATGAAAAGGGTAGCACTTGGTCAATTCTACTGTCTATATGTGGAATGTCAACGCTATCCTAACAAGTTCTTTTCTCTTGGCATCCCTGTTACTGTACATTCTGTCTTTAAAATTCCATGGACAGGGTCTATTCTGAATTTCCATAATAAATTGGTCCATCCTTCTTAGATCACTTTCACTTGCAGACTGCCTGTCCAATTGCCAGCCTCTTCCATTCTAAGCATGTCCATCATCAATGTGGTGCACCTCTTCTACTTTGCACTGTTATGATCTGTTTAGTCAAAACCTAACAGAACATTCCGTTGATGGACGAGTGGTGCACCAACAGAGCTCGACAGACATTATGACGGAAATTTCCATCCAGTCTGTCGCTATGTGTTTTGAATGTAAGCTTGTGCATTCCATCTAACAGAGGGTGAATGAGATACACAATATTCCACCATCATTCCTCTCACACTACACTCATGCTAATAAATACATTCACTCTCCCTACAGTAGTAAATAAAAAATATCATTAATATATACAATAGAACAACCATGTTTCCTCCAAGAAGCAGAACATGGGACCCAAACCCAATTCTCAATTCAAGCGCGGGTGATATGCATTATAATAGTTGCTATAAAAGTTCTTATTTTTTTCTTTCAGCACCTGACCCAAACCGATGCAGGGCAGCTTCTCATACTAGCCCTACCATTAGATGTTGATTTACAAATAGAAATGTAAATACACTGACAGGCAAAAAATTCCACCCAACAGATTTTTTTTTTTTTTTCATATTCTCGATAAAATAAAATTCTTCCCTTAATTTGTCTCAGTGTTTGTACCAATAAATATTTGTTTATGTTATGTTTTAAATTCGGAATATCAATTAGAGGTAAACACACTCGTTCCAAAATAAGGATAAAGGATTTTTCAATGTTTACTTTTTATGGAATTTAAAATGTTTATTCACTCTCAATTGAACCCTGAAACAATAAACTGTTTAGCTTTCAACTTTGTTTTCTTAATTTCAATTTTTAAACTTAAAAATGCCACTTTTTGCTGAGGATGTTGTGCGTGGTGTGGCACTTATTAATGATGGACATTCCATCAGGTATGCCATCGGAGTTCCCTACAAAACATTGTAAGACGCCATTAGACGTTTTCGAGAAACTGGGTCCTACCATAGAAGGCCCGGTTCTGGACGCCCTATGGTAACTGAACCACAGGATGACAGTTTTTTGAATTTGAAAATTTTCCGAAACCGGCACTTTACTGTTGTTAAAGCGAATCATCAGCTCCAGGAAGTTCGAGGTGTCCAAATTTCTGAACACACTGCTCAAAGATTAAATCAGTATGGACTGATGACTTTTCGCCCCATAAGAAGACAAGAATTGACCAAAACACACAGAGTTGCACAGCTCACATTTGTCGAGAGCACAATCATTGGTCTTTGGACGATTGGTCTGCTGTACTTTTTACAGATGAGTGTAGATTTGCTCTACAATGTCCAGATAGGCATGAAAGAGTGTGGAGAAGGGGAAATGAAAAGTGCAAAGCCTGTAATTTTTCACAGCCAACCTTTTCGACATAGCTCAGTTATGGTGAGGGCGGAAATTTCAATGGAGAGTTGGTTATTGTTCATGGAGGAGAGGCCTTTGAGCCATTCGCTATGTGGATAGAATTTTGGAAAATCACACATTACATATCCTCGATGAAAGCAACAATCCTACGCTAAAGCACAATAATGCCCATCCGCATGTCGCACGCATAGTACAAACATACCTTCAACAGCTTAATATCAGGATCTTAGCCTGGCCAGCCCGTTCTACAGAATTGAACCCCATCAAACATTTATGGGATGACCTTGAAAGACAAATTAAGAGCACTTCCAACATTTCCCAATACACTCCACGATCTTGAAAAGACGCTTTGTGAAGAATGGGCTAGCCTCCATCAAAGAGACATTTCTAGATTGGTAGAAAGTATACCAAGGCATCTTCGAGATGTAATTATGGCAAGAGGAGGAAATATGCAATGTTGAAATGTTAATTAAAAATCTAATTAAAACAAATTTTATCTGTCTCTCTTTTTTTTCATTTTTCATTTTCCTTAGCAATTTTCTTTTTTTTTGCTTTTTTAGACGAACACTCAATTATTAAACGTTAAAAAAACGTGAAACTGATTAATGTATAAAAATATATACAAATCAAGTTATATTACAAACGGGTGGAATTTTTTGCCTGTCAGTGAGGTTCAAAAATAATAACAGAGTACTTGCTACAAAAAAAGTGCAAGTGAAATGAAAGCCAGTGAGAGCTCAGTAAGAAGTGTCAAGTACTTCAATCTAAGTTCACAGCTCACAGACCAACAAACACCACCTACTTTAAATTATACATTGTTTATCGTTTTTTATTGTATGCAGACAAGTGTGATATAAAAAGTACATACATAAAATAAAATCCGGTCCTTTTTCAACGATCTCCTTCGTCTTGTACCAATCGCCACGTTTGAGAGCACCCTTCAGCCTCCAGTCGTGACGTCCGTACAAGTTGGTGAAAATCCTGTCCTGGTCAGCGAGCGGCCCATACTTGTCCTGGTCGATAATCAACAATTTACATTTTTAAACTATTTTCCAACACGTTTTCCACGTCGAAAATTGTACAGATTTTTCTTCTTCCAGCTCACCTTTGTGGGCGGAGGGGCCGCAGCGGTCTGCTGAGTCCTGATCTGAAGGGTGTTGATGCAGGGGCCGAGGCTGTCTGGCGGAGGCGGAAATCGTTAGAACTTATTGAAATGCGACTTTGACGGGCTTTTACTTACTCAAGTTCGTTTTGGAGAGGGCGAGACGTTTAACGGACAAAGTCCCAGCCATTTTCGATTTAAAAAAAAAAACTGTCGAAAGCCCCGATAAAAGTGAAAACCTTCAGCGAATAGATGATCATATGATCGTCGACCTAAGCGCAGACGTGCGGAAAGCCGATCATTGACTGCCTACCGCTCAAATTACACTTACAATTCTTTACCATTAAAAAAAAATCATAAAAAAATATTCATGATTCTTCGAGAAAGCTCATTTTTCATGGGCCTGGAATGGGCTTACTTTAAAGTTGTCTGAATTGAAGTATTGACAGATTCTCGAATGAAATTCTTAATAATAAAATTTAATTTGCTCCAATAATTATATTTAGTTACTGTAAGTTGTATCATACACGAAAAGGCATAAACCTAAACATTTATTTATAAATCTGTGAAGATCCTCTATTTCCTTATCTTCATCTGTGGATTTTTATCTAGTTATGGTTGCTAGTTGCTACCTTTCTGGCTGTTGGTTTCCTAACGGGCAGGTTACGCTGACGATTTTTACTAAAAAGTTCTAATTTTTATTTTTTTTATTTAGTATTAAGACAGTTTATCATTTTATCTTTAATCCGTTATTGTTGATGTTTCTTTATTTTCGATTGTAAGTTATTGACTCCGTTTTCGGAGTGCTAGAATGGCCGGAATCTGTAACAGGGTCCTGGGCCTGTCGGCGAGGTCGGCTTTCCTACCCGGCATAAACACTTCGTAAGGAATTTTCTTCCTCCTTATTCGATTTTCTTCCTTTATTTTTCCTATCCGCCTGTTTCTCCTGCATTGGAATTTTTGCAGGTGCGACCAGTTAATTTTCCAAATGTCTAACATGCAAATCCGTGCGAAGAGGACCCAAAACCGGCCCAAGCTCAAGTACCCTTTTTGGTACTTAAAGAAGGAAAGAACGGTAAAATACCAAATACATTTTCAAATTGCAGCAAAATTCAATAACGTTGATGACCAATGCTCAAAATGTCAACAAAAAAAAACTGTTTGAAAATGTTTTCAGCTGTACAATGAACACTTGACGGAAAGTAATATAAAGTTTATTGAGGAAATGACGCATAACAAATTCGGACCTCCGGCGATAATTAGTGGTCTTCCGACGTACCAGATTTCAAGTCCTTTGAAAGAAAAACCCATGGAATATGGGGAGTGGAACCCGAAAACAAAGAGATGCGGATTGATAACAAGAAAAATTGGTTGTTATCCAATGTGGAAGAAAAATGGTGACATTATCTGGTCAACATTACTTCAGGTGTTTTGACATAATTTTTTAAATAATCCCTTTTTACTTTTAAACTACAGTAGACTCTCGCTATCCATGATATCACTTATCCACAGTTCCCCCCCCTTCACCTGAGTGGGAATGAATGGTGGGGCATGCGGGGAATCACAGAAAAACAACTAAGCATAAATGAATTCTTATTTTTATTTATTTATAACTGAAATCTGTGTACATAATTTCATACATAACATTGATGATATGCACAAGTAATACAGAAAGTGTCTGATTGGTATGATGATGAAAGAAAATTCTTTCACGTCTAAAATTCGAGGCGTTTCCTATAATCCACAGTTCTCATTATCTGCAATGATGCTTGGTATGTATCCCCTGTGGATAACGAGAGTCTACTGTATTCATAAATTTGGATTTCTTATTGCGCCCTGTCTTTACTGTGACTACCAACTCACAGACCATTACCCAACATCAACTTTATTTGTAAATTTGTTCCATCAGGTTGTGGATAATCACGTAGTAAAATACACGCCCCCAGAGGAGGTTTCAGATTTTCAAAAGCCGGAAAGATTTTTGAGACCAAACAAATATGGAATTTTACTTGTCGGTGCTGAGAGTTCAGATCCACAGAAGGTGAAGTGGATTTCAATTTTTTTTTTTTCTATTTTATTAATTATGTTAATTGATTATACAGAATGATGTATTTTTAGTACACTCGTGAGTACTGTGGGCTCTTTGCGAATGCGGGTCTACCTCCGAAAAAAGTTTTAGGCCGATTCAACATCTCTCCTGAAGCTGCACTTCAGCCAGGCACACCGTTATACGCCATGCATTTTCAGCCCGGTGACGTTGTTGATGTAGTAGGCACTACGTATGTCGCAGATGCACAATTTAAAAAGTATATACATTTGTATACTGATTTGTTACGGTTGTAGGATCAGCCGAGGCTTTCAGGGCGTGATGAAGAGATGGGGGTTCAAAGGCATGCCTGCATCCCACGGTGTGACAAAAACTCACAGAAAAGCTGGAAATATAGGAGGTGGAGGTGAAAAAGGGAGGGTCTGGCCTGGAACGAAATTACCTGGACATATGGGAAATAGAAAAAGATACCTACGTGGGCTTAAAGTAAAACAAATATACCAACTTTATTTTCACTTTGTTTCTTTTTATAATTAATAAAAGCGTAATTTCTTTCTTATGTGGTTTTAACGTTGACTAAAAAATAATACTAAAATTAAATGTTTGTTTTCAGATTTGGAGAATAAACACAAAATTTAATATTCTCTATGTACAAGGATTGGGGGTACCTGGTGAAACCAACTCCATAGTTTATGTCCATGATACAGTCTTACCTTTGAAGTACTTTCCATTCTCAGTATTTCATTTCCTATGATTTATTTTGTTTATTTTTTTTTTATTTTTTCAGGAAGAAAAAGACAGCGCCCCTTTCATTTCCAACATACTTTGACGAGGGGAAGGAGTTAGCGGATGACCTCTATGACAATGATGTCCATTGTTTCAATGAACCTACACTGATGTTTGAAGAAGGCAAATAGACGCTTTTGCTCAGTCTTTAGTTTTGCATTTTTAATACCTTTTTTAACCACATGCAAATTTTCTAGTTGTCTCAATAAATTGTAAATAGATGTTATCTTAAACAGTTTCCTTTTTTTTAGCCCTGTGAAATTTCCCCATCTGCTATTAATGTTATCACAACATAACTCAGTACATAAATTATACTTACAGATAAATTATAATTAAATTTAATTTGTTTAAATTAATTAAATTTATGAACTCATGTTGAAATCCATTGATATAAAATACTATTAAAATTTGTATGCCACATCCATTCATCATCAGGATCTGTTGGCTGATGTTCATCTAGTAAACTTCATTGAGCTTCCCCCCCATAATTCCTATTCAAAATAAAGTGCTGACATTCCTGGTCAATAGTGACATTAAACTGATCCTCCTTTTCCTGTCCAAAAGTGACATCATTTTTTGTGTCTGACTTTTCCTGACCAGATCCTTTTTTTCTGTTCAAAGTTATTTTTTTTATTTTATTTTTTTTAAGTAAAACAGCTACTAATAAGTTTTTAATATTAGCAAATTTCTCGTTATTCCATTTTTTAATAATTTATTTTGTTACAAACTGTAAATTTTTTTTTTTTTTTACGAGGGTTCGCAACAGCAGAGGTCACCCTCAGGGTGCCAGTGTTTTTGAAAAAAAGCCCATTTGTAAGTATCTCGGGTTCGAATGTAGGGCTGCTGGATTCGAACCCGGGACCTTTACCTTACAGTGATGAGCGCCGTGCCAACGCTTAAACCGTTGCGGACACCGACGCCCCAATATTAGTTACTAACAACTGATCTATTTTTCTTGCCAGTATTATTAATTTACTGGTCATCCTTGGTAAGCAAGTATTAATTATTCACTAAGATTTAATAATTATATAGTACTGCAACAAATGTCGCTAGGTGTGACTCAAGAAAGACAAATTAAATAAGGGTTCAAAATAAACTAAATTGTGCAAAAAATATATTATTTTTTTTAATAAATGAAGCTCAGATTTGATGTAATATTTACAAGTTTAACTTTAACTCTATATCTGACAGAATATACTATTTAAAATCTATCAACAATTTGACATATTTGATTTATAATGCATAAAGTACATTTATGCTATAAATAAATAAATACAAAGAACACAACATAAAATTAAAATTATAAGCACTAATTAGTTTATAAGGAAAATGTATTTGTGTTGTAGTTTATTTTGTAACTTGATGCATTGCGTGAGCTAAATATTCCACGTTTTTTGTAGTGACGCCCGCCATCGATACCCTACCATCTTTGGTCAGGTACACATGGAATTCATTTGTGAGCCTTTCTACCTGAAATTAAACAAAACAAATTTTTGATTCACCGTCTCCGACGATAATAGTGCTATAGGTTTTTGTAAGTTCTATGGTTGTAATGAAAGTTACCTGTTGAGGAGATAATCCTGTATAACAGAACATTCCAATTTGATCAGTTATGTGATCCCAACTCTTGGTTGAGCCTTCCTTGACAAGAAGAGATTTTAAGGATTTCCTGACTGAAATAATCCTGTCGGCCATTCCTTTCACTTCTCCTAGCCTAAACAAAAATAAAATTATTTATATATTTCTGGTGTTTAACACATTCGTTAAGGCCGTTGTTCTGGAACGATGCACTAAACCCTTCCCAGTACAGATGTCGTTCCAGAACGACACTCCCCTTCTGGAAAACCCTCACTTTCGGAGTTTGTAAGGTGTTGGGGTATTTTGGAATCGAATTGATGTCAGGCGATTAATATAGTTTTGGGAATGTTATTGTGAAAACCTTTTTTCGATTTGTCTTTGTAGAATTGTTTTACGATTTTTTGAGAAAAAAAAATTTAATCAAAATCTGTGCCAAATCTCAGGAGAGCTGAAATGAGATGTCAAGAGATTTTCTTGTTGGGACAAACCATTGATTTCGAAGTTGTTCATCGCTAAGGATTGTCTGGACGATTCTAGCGCCATTGATCGGAGGATTCGAATACATTGGTCTTATTAGGATCTTCATCTGTGACATAGTCCTATCAGCTTCCTCTTTATCACAATTCACTAAAGAAAATGCTCCAATCCTTTCACCTATGAATATATGATTAACGTAGTTTGATAAAAATAGTTTAAATGACATTGGAAAGTAGAAAATTTACCATAAAGTCCCATATTTTTTGCGTAGGATTGACAGAGAGCAATCTGATGGCCGTCTTCTACGAACAACCTCACAGCTAGAGAGTCTCTATTCACATCACCTGTTCGTAAATGTATAAATTATATGCAGTGAAAAATTAAAAAAGGTGATTTGGGAATTACCTGATGCAAAACCTTGGTACGCCATATCAAAAAATGGAAAGTGATTCTTCTCTTTGATCACTTGACTGAGTTCCTTCCATTGATCAGGTTTCGGATCAATCCCAGTCGGATTGTGAGCGCAGGCATGCAGTAGTACAACGGAGCATTCTGGTATATTCTATTGTAAAAAAATGGTCTTTTAACAACTACAGTCGACTTTTGATAATTCAAAACACAAGAGACCAAAAAAAATAATTCGAATTATCAAGGGGAAGAAAAACGTTGATATGCATTTTTACAAGTCACTATGTAAATTGTATGTATATAAAACATAAAAATAATGAAAAAATGGAAATAGATCAACTGTAAAATTGAACATTGTTATGCATTATTAAAAAAATCCATGAAGAAGTTTTCGTTTCAATGTGGCCTGGTGTCCTTTGTCAAAATTATTTTTTGAAGTGACCAGTGCTGAGAATACATTGACAAAACTCTGACCGCCGACATAACACACTAGAGACAATTATAAGAAACTTTAGGCAGTAATAAAGTAAACACTATGTGGAACTTTAGAGGAATATTACAAAGAAAAAGTTTGAATTATAAAGGGGGAAGTGACTCCATTTTGATTTATAGAATGGTTTTCTGTGTATACTGAGTACCATAAAACACAGGGTTTTTTTCCCCTTTCAATTTACCAAAGTAACCGCCTGAAGAGTCCATATTATTAAGTTACGAATTAACTAGAGCCAACTATAAACGGAATTTACTTTGCAGATATATAAAACTTAGACTATTTTGTGAACATGTCATAAGCAAATAACTAATTTTCTGACTAGTTATTTTGAAAAATGTTGAAATTTGAGATGTGTAGGCTTTTTTTAAACTGTTTTATCAGTGAGACATTACCTTAAGATCTTCCACCGCTCCCTCAAAGTCAAAGCCAACAGTCTTCGGATCGTAATACCTGTAGTACTTGACAGGTAGGCCACTGTGGTTGAAGATGGGAATATGGTTTCCCCACGTTGGGCTCGGTAAATAGACTTCCTTATTTCCTGGGAAAAACTTCTGAAGGAAGGCCGCACCGATGCGGAGGGCGCCAGTTCCTGAAAGAGTCTGGACTGTGGAATTCTGGAAAAAAACACAAGTACTTCAAAAAATTATTCTGTGCTGGTGAAATAACAGTAAGTTGATCAATACTGACCAACTTATTTTCGATGACGTTGCTGTCGTCCCCGAAGGCAAGTTTGGCCGAGAGACTACAAAATTCAGCTACCCCGTGAATAGGAGCATATTCTTTGTCCAAGTTGCTGTCCACTACTCTTTTTTGAGCCTGAAAAAAAATTACCATTTAAAATGCACTTTGATAGGGAATTTGTAGAATTTACCTCGATAACACTTGGGAGGACATAAGGTTTACCATTGTCATCTCTGTATGCGCCAACACCGACATTGATTTTGTTGGGATTGGTGTCCTTTTTATACGCTTCTGTAATGCCAAGAATGGCATCTGGTGGCCCCATCTCCACTTTGGACCACCATGAGCTGAAATAATTTATTAGGTAATTTCTGTCTGTACTGTTTAAACACTTGAGAGATTCAGGAAAGATCAGGTCATATTTATTTGCATTAATTATTAATATTAAAAAAATGAAATACAAAACTAACATGACATAAAATTGAGTAATGAATGTAGAATATGCAGAAGGAAAAATATTAGGTTTGACATTGATAGAGCGAATTAATTGATAGTGTATCCAAAAATTACACAATTTCAACTGTCAAATGTTAAAAAAACTTAAAAAATGAACAAAAAGAGTATATTAGGTTCTTTAATGAAATGACAAAAGTACTTTTCAATAAATAGGCCTTGCCTTTACATTTGCTAATCCCCTTAAGTATTTTTTCTATGATATATATTTTATAGATATATTTAAAAATATCTGCTTGTATCAATGGAAATATGAAAACCAGTTTAGAGTAAAATAAATTGTCAAAAATAGAATTAGATAAACGATCTTACCCCATTATCGATTAACATACTGATATAGTATGACCTTTCATATGAAAGAATCTTGTCCTCTTCACCGTCTAACTTTTTAAAATCCAATTTAATAAACAAGCGTAAGTATAAAATGGAATTTAACAATTATAACATTAATTCTAATAAGGACTAGAATCAAATGTTTTTCATATCATAGTCATTTAAAGACAATGATTTAATTGTTTCATTTGATGATTTTTAAACTATAATAGCTAATGTAGAATGAAAAGTTAATAAATAAATAAAGTAAATTAAGTTTCCTAGATTTTACTCTTTTGTACAATTAAATTATTTTTGGTTCAATATATTTGAATTTTTTTATATTTTTAATATGATTTGCACTCAGAGAATACATCGGAAAAATAGCCACTTTTTACATTCTCTACACCTTTAAGTTTTAAAAAGGTTTATTATTTTCCTTTCTTGTTTAGAAATTAAAGAGAAATAAACTTATAAAAATAGTTAATCACTGCTGGCAACCCATGTATGCCTGCATGTAATCAAAATAATATATAAAGACCAGTATAAATAAATATAATTTAACAGGTTGAGCTCTTCCAACAACTCACCTAATATGGGAGTTGTAATACGATACAATTATTAAAATATTTATAACAACTAATTCAATGATGTCCATTAAAATACTTAATTTTGTATATATGACCGTGAACTCATCAACTCAGGTATGGAATATATACGTATATATATTTTTTAAGTTGATAATGTATTATCGTATCATTAAATGAGAATTCAATTATCACTTCCATATAACCGGTTATTAAAGGAAATATAAATCGAGAAATAACCAGTTTGGCAGTGTTATCTCCTCAATGCCTCGAAAGATAAAAACATCTCAAATGTTAACAAGTTATCCTGACCCTAAAAGAGCAATAATATGAAATAACTCTTCTTTAACCAACACAGAAAAAAATTACTAAACTCAATAAAACTAACACTGAACTTTAAAATGAAGCATGATGCATCAAAATAATTTAGTCTGATTATGCTCGCTGGTTTTATTTGCCACTTTTAATTGGTCTATTATGAAAGGACACCAAACAGACCAACCACTGAGGGAAAAAGCAAAATGATCTGAAATGAATGTTAATGATCAATCACAAAGTGTTTAACATAATTGAAGGCCATGAGATTTCTTCCTGTGGTCTACAGGGTGATGAACCAGTAACTGATCATTTCATCTGCCTATCCCTGCTGGGTTGGTCTGGCAGACGTGTTTCAATGTTGTAGCAGTGTGAACTACCAACTCCTTGCATACTCCTACGTTCAAATAGACCCACTTTCAACACTGTTTGGAAATGATCAGTTAGTTTAGAAAGAAAGAAAAAGAGAAGATATGCAATTTTTTTTTTTTTTAACTTTCAACAAAAAAATTATCTTAGCATAAGCCTCTGGCTTTAAAAAGGGTTGATCCTGCAATGATAATGTACCTATCATGGGAAAGCGCTTCACCGAAGGAACAGAAGCCTTTTATGGAGCATATGGGATATCTCATACTGCTCATAAAAGTGGTAATTAACTTATATGAGAAGAACAAAATCCTTACCAATATTGGGAAGAAACTGACTGGGCTGATATAAATTAATCAAGGTATCTGATAAAGATGTTGTTTATCACCTGTTCTTATTAACGTCTATTATCTGGCTGTTGTTAGTCTTCTTGTCATACTCCCAATGAATATGCAGATAAAAAGAATAAAAGATGATTTGCAGCATGCACTTTTCACTTTCAACTAGATATGCAAGAGATTTTTTTTACCTTAGTGGGGTAGCTACCATAGCCATTTCCTCCAGTAAAAACAAAGGAATAAGCCTCTGAAGGTAAGTATCCAGTGCAATCAAAAATTGTCGTTAATAATACAACACTGGAAAAGGTAATGCACTATACCTTTCTTGGCAGTGTGAATCCACATGTAATCATGATTTGTAAATTCATTTTATGTGTAAGAGTCATCTTTCTTTTCCTTCAATGATTTGCTCTATCATATTTCCAATTTCTCTCAGATGGCTATTCGATTAATGGTCCTTCAATTTACAACCCCTTGACACTCATTAAGAATTTCATTTCTGATGCTTGGATTCATTGTTCTTCTCATTGTGTTATGGTCCAAGATTCCCTTCCATATGTCAGCACTGGGGTTGCCAACACTCTAAAATTCGAGCTTGATTTCTTTTTGTATTTGTTTTTCCTGAGAGCTTAGTTCATGGTGCCATACATTCTTTGGAGCCCCTCAATCTTTGTGGTCATTCTCATAGCTCATAAAGGTAAAGGGCCACTATTCTGTTATTAATGACAATTTTTAATCACACTGGATACATACTCTCAAAGGCTTTTTACTTTATGTTGAAGGAAATCCCTTGCATATCTACCTGATCCGTAAACAAAAGCATATTGAAAGTGGGTCCATTTTGATGTAGGAGTATGCCAGTTGTTAGTTCACATTGCCAGATAGTAGATTTTAAAAAGAACAGGTGACAAACAACATCCTTGTCGGACACGTCGATTAATTTCCACCAGCCCATTCATTTTCTTCCCAGAATTTTGGAGGATTTTTGTCTTGCCATATAAGATCAAACGCTTTCTCACAATATTCCTCATAATATTCATTATTCCTGCAAGACCAGAACTTTTTAACCTAGATTGCACTTCAACCAAAAGTGCTTCAGATGTGATCTTTAATACTTTCTAAATGTATTTCTGTAATTAATTAATGTGTTCAGGTGACTTATAACATAATAATTGTTGCACTCATCACTTGCATCTTTCTTAATCAAAGAAATTACCTCTGTTCCCCTCCAATTTTCAGGGATTTCCCCAGTTTTCCAAAATTTATTGAGCAAGTACTGGAAACGATTGATGATCAAATTATGATGACAAAACACAATCAGCGGTGATGTGAAATTTTATTAACAAGCAATGAGAAAAAATCTCAATGACATCCTTCAACATGTGCATAACAGTGTTTCCACATAAAAATAAGACAAGACAAGACTGTAGATCAAACATGAAAATCAGAAAGACAAAAGTTTAGACATAATAATCAGCCAATGTATTTAATATCATTTATCAATCTTTTGGTGTTCAAGTAGTATGAAAAATTAACTGATACTGATATATTTATGAAATAATGAAGGTAGAATGAAATTTTATGAAATAGCAGTGAGAAAAAAATCACAATGGCATCCTTAAATACATGTATAATGGCATTTCCATATTGAAAGAAAACAACAAAGGAAAAAATAAGCAGATCAGAAAAAGTATAAGTAAGTAAAAAGTTTAGAAATAAATCAGAAAGCACATGATTAACCAGAACAGGGCCACTTGCTGGGCCCATCTATATTTATCCATTCCTCACCGAAGATGGCGAAAAGCTGAAAAGTGAGTATTATCAAAACCCATGAATGTAGTACCTAGTAAGTGTAACCTGTATAACAAATAATAATTAGGTCAATGTTTTATTATCTTGTGTTATATTATATGTGGTATTTAGTGACCATTAGTTGATGATTGTTTGGAGATTGTGAGATGCGGTCTGGTGAGACGTAGGTTTTAGAAAAACTTTTTTTTGTACCGTTTCAATCTTTATTAAGATCATCTTCAGGGCCTGGGATTTATAAACATCGTTTAAATTATTCAAATACATGGAGGATGTGAGAAAATTTGAGTGAGTACTTTGATTGAGTCTAAAATTTCTAGCATTGTACAAATTCATTTTTTCTCAAATTTCACACCTAATTATAATATTTGATCAATGTGTTTATTATTATTGAAAATTGTTTTGATATTCATGTTGCAATTGGAAAAACCATATCAGTGCTGATATATTTTTTGAAATAACAGCAAAGAATGTCTCACAATGACATGGTTCAACATGTGTGTAAATGAGTTTCCACATTGAAATAAAACAATCCAACAAAAAACTAGCTATTACGGAAGCAAAAATTGTTGAAATAATAATTAGGTCAACATGTTTATTATTATTAGTAATTGTTTTGATGTTCAAGTTGTAATTGGAAAAACCATATCAGTTTTGATATATTTTTGAAATAACATCGAAGATTATCACACAATGACATGGTTCAACATGTGTATAAATATGTTTCCACATTGAAATAAAACAATCCAACAAAAAACTAGCTATTACGGAAGCAAAAATTGTTGAAATAATAATTAGGTCAACATGTTTATTATTATTGGTAATTGTTTTGATGTTCAAGTTGCAATTGGATAAACCATATCAGTGCTGATATATTTTTTTTAATAACAGCAAAGAATGTCAAACAATGACATGCTTCAACATCTGTGTAAATGAGTTTCCACCTTGAAATAAAACTGTAAAACAAAAAACAGTTGATAGAGCAGAAGTAAAAATTACTGAAATAATAATTATAAATATTATTAATAATTCTATTGATGTTTAAGTTGTGAATGAAAAACTTAATTTGATAAATTTGTGACATCGCAGCAAGAAAAATCTAGCTCATGTGTGTCTCCTTTTCCATCTTATTATGTTTGCATTATCGTTGCTTAAAACGTTTGTTATAAATAATTTTTAAGTGAATGAAAGCAAGGTTTTGCAACAGACAATTTTTAAACAGATTTAATATTACATTATATATTATTTGACAGTTTTATCTCGAACACTGATAAGCGATATTTTTCACTTTTTATTACAACCACATTGAGATTGTAGGTAGTGGCACTACAGAGCTATTAACCTTTGGGTGTTTGCAATTTTTATAAGCAACACGAATTAAATAGAAACATTACTGACCCAGACAACATTACTGAGAGGTCTTTGGAGCATTGTACGACATTCCTGCCTTGTTGAAATGTTGGAAAATGAGCTATAACTAGTTTTCAATATATAGATAAAGATTATTGCAAAAGATGTGAACGTGCTGGCATGGATTTCTGACATAATCTGTGATTTTTTTCAGTGATGAGCTTTATTCTGTAAAGTTTTTTTTTAATGGTTATTTTTTGTGAGATTTACCTTAATCTCGCAGGCACGGCTGCTTGCTGGGAGAACACTTGCGTCGCCTGCAAGCATGTCTTGGTGTACTTCATTGCCATGATCTCGTGTCTTGTTCGAAAGAAAAATTTAAATTAAAAAAAAAGCTTTTAAAAAAACTACTCGGTGAATTTTGTGTCGTTTTATAGTGTCTGAGAGTATTCGTTTTCTGGACGTCCTCCCCCGGCATTCAGCACGGAATGGAAATGGACTTGGAAACGGCGACTCGAACGGCCGGCGGGCGGTGGGAGAACCGTCGTCTACGCCATGAGATAACAGTTGTGTGCGTGATCGATTCTTATCTCTTATCACGTTGGATACATCGGATAGACTTTGCATCCCTTCGGTTATCCATTCCCGTGTCAGCGTACAAATCACGTATCGCTACATCACTCTCTCACTATTTACACACAAAAAAAAAATAATAAAAAGAAAAAAAATTTAATTAATCAACAAATTGCCTAGTATAAAGTAAGTTTAAACATAATATACATTGTACCATTAATTCAGATTAAAATCTTCTAAGTGTGGAAGTATTTATTGTATAAAATTACAATTATATAAGAAATTTAACAAAAATCGAGCAATGAAACGGCCAACTCACAGCTCAATGATTTTCGAAAAAGCAATTCTAAGATAAGAAGAGATATAAAGTAATTATTAAAATTTGCACACCTTTTCAAATTATGTTGATATCAAAAAATTTAGCACGAGTACAAAAAACAGGTTTAAAAGAAAGAGAGAATCATTTTTACAAAACTCATACCAAAATTGGGCTAAAATAACAAAATCAAATTGCTTAAATTTACAAATCTATAGGCAATTTAACAAAAACTAAAATTGTGCAGAAAAATGCATTTAATCAGAAATTTTTGCTGAATTTATTTGGTACAAAGCAGAAAGAAATAGCCGTACAAAGATGAGAGTACAAATAAAATAGTTAATAAAATTTGTTCACCTTTTTAAATTATCTACATATTAAAAAAGATGATCTCGAGTACAAAAAAGATTGTTAAAAGGAAGAGGAAATAAGATACCATGTGAAGATATTTGTAAAAAACCAAATTATATTATTATATAATTATTATATATTATTATTAATTGTAAATAGACTATTTCTCGACATAGAAACTGAAAATTATTTTTCCAAACACATATCAAAATTGAGCTAAAACAACAAAATCAAATTGCTTAAATTTACAATTCTATATGAAATTTAACAAAAACTAAACTTGTGCAATAAAATGCACTTGATCAGTTTTCGCTGAATGTATTTGGTACAAAACAGAATGAAATAACAGAACAAAGATAAGAGTACATTTAATTAAATAATTAAAATTAGCCCACTTTTTCAAGTGATATAAGTATAAGNTATAAGACACTTGAAAAGAAATAGCTAGGATTAAAAGAAATTAATTTAAAAGAAAATGCCAATAAGTTGCAACATGAAGATTTATTAAAAGTGGATGATTTCACATATTTCATCGTGTAAAGTCAGCCATTTGTAATACCCAAAACAAAATAATTTCAAAGATTAAAGCTACTGTTATGTAGATCAAAGAAAGTTGATGAAAAATCATAACATTAACTTTAACTCAAGATTTTCCTTATCAGTAGCTTTAATCTTTGAAATTATTTTGTATATATAATGTATATGTATATGTATATATAATGCAGGGCGGGCAACCAAGACCCGAGGGGTTAAATGCTTGGGTAGACTCGTACCCATTCCTAAAAGGTCTGGGAATTGGTCAGCTCACGTGTCCTGCATAAACCTCTTGGACCTGAACACAAACCCCAAGATTTTGGACCATTTAATCTCGGGGAGTGATTTGGTGATGTCCTCTCCTTCAAAGATTTCAAATCTAGACCTAGCATACCTATCACACTCTGCGAGGTAGTGCCTTGCCGTTTCTTCTTTTATTTTGCAAAAATGGCAAAAGGGATCTGGTAGAATACCCATTATGGAGAGGTGTCTTCTCAATGGGCAGTGGCCCGTCAGGATTCCTATCAGCCTCCTATTTCCCTTCCTTGAGTTAGAGAATAGCCATTTCGATTCTGCTGGTTCGATCGCTTTAACAAAGTAAAGTTTTCAAGTATGTGGTACTCAGAGAGTTTCCAACACAATCAACGTAGCTGAAGCATTTATTCAAATTGGTAAACAATGGATGTAATGTACACTGATCTATCAAGGCGTTTGATCCCCAAATTGGTCAATAAACTGTCTTGCCTTGTTAACCTATCATGGTTCCATATTATTGGTTAACAAGCTTTCTAATTAATAGGCAATACTGTGTTAAATTAAATTCAACTTCATCCTCTTATTTTGAGTCTACCTCAGGAGTGCCACAAAGATCTTGTATTGGACCTCTTCTTTTTTGTTTGTATATTAATGATATAATATTTTGATATGATGTTTTGTCAAGAAATGTCAAATTTCTACCTTATGATGTTGATCTAAAATTTTTAAAACAGTTGAACATTTTAATGATGCCAATCTACTACAGTTAAACATTTCTAAACTAGTTTGATAGTGCCATGATAATGTAATGAGTTATTATACCAAGGGCTATAAAAAAGTTAGTTTTTTTATACAAGATTGATGATACCCCTATACCTAGAGTCAATAGTTTTACAGATCTGTTCTGTTTGACACATATTTTTTATTTGTAAGTCATATTGTTGTCATTAAAATTATTAGGTTTTGCAATATTAAGTTAATTAAAAATCTTTTTTATTGCCTCTCTAGAACACAACTTGAGTATGCTTCTATTATTTAATCTTCTTATTCCAAATCCCATTCTGATAGCATCGTGAAGGTGCAAAAATAAGTTCTTAAAACTCATTGCTATAGATTGAGGAATAAATCTGATAAAATCAACGATACATATCTTCTGACTATTTAATTTCACTTCCCTTTTCACATAGTTTTAAGTTTTTGAGCATATTATTTTTATATAAAGTTATTTATAATTTGTTGATTGTGAACAAATTTTGCATTTAATTAATTTTAATATTCCTCCTATTCCACAAGCAGTATATCGCTTCCTTTCAAAAGTGTACTTAGTTACTTAAAAACCAGTCTTATGAGACTTGGAAATATGATTGACTTATTTTTAAAGGATTTGTATTAAAAAAAAAAAATTAACAGTATTGGGGGCATTAATGCCTGCAACACTTTAGGTGTTGACATGGCACTCATCATTGTAATTAAAGTTCAAATCCAGTGGCCTTGCATTCGAAACTGAAAACTGACATAATTACAAATGGACTTTTTCAAAAACACCGACAACCCGAGGATTGATATGACCTCTGCGAACTTTATTTTTATTAATTATTCAGAAATCGTGAGATGGAGTCTGGTGTGATGTAGGTTTCAGAAAACATGTTCTTTATCGTGCGAACGTTTCAATCTTTATTGAGATCATCTTCAGGGCTCAAAGTGTTTGTCTTCTGTGTAATTGTGCCATTCTTGCGTGTCGTATTGAGTCCTTTTACTTATTTTTATTTATATATTTGTGGCATAATTTATATATTTGTTTCAAAATTTTTATTCAACTAGCTTTTACCCACGACTTCATCCATGTGGGACTCTGTTTTGATGTAACTTTCTAATGCAATACAGAGTGCTATTATGGCTTTCTAAATATAATGCCTGTTTCTCTAATTCTTTTCTTCTTCAGTTCACTTTGGTCTACACCCGGTAAAAAATTGCCTACATGATCCCCTTAGGGGAAAAAATGGTTTGGTCTGTGAGTTTTCTGTCAGTCACAGAACTGTTTTATATATATATATAGAAGATAGGAATGGAATTTCAAAAAATCCTTTCTTAGCGACTATCTAAGTCATTATAGGAATGCATTGTTGAAATTCATCCCATTAGATCCAATGGTTTGGTCTGTGTGTTGTCTGTTCGTCATTTATTGAACTGTTTTATGTATAAAGATTATAATTAAAATTAGGATATTTATGAATGGATTTCTATTACTTTTGCAAATATAGATCTAGTTTTTTTTCATTATTTTCGTTATAATATTAATCTATGTGTTTAGTCCTAGTTCCTGATTATTTAAATTGATTTATAATTTTTGTTTAAAGTGTGGTTGAGATGAAAAATTGTGGGTTCCGCTCATGACACTATTTCATCAACCACACTGCATAAAAATTATAAATCAATTTTTGTTTTGTTTATTAATATTCTTTTTTTTTACTATTGTTTATGTGAGATGTATATTTGTATTTAATAGGCATTATTTGCCTGTCTAAGTGAAAATAAATAAATAAACAAAGACTGTAATAATTAAATCTAAAACAAAGTAGGATTTGATTATTTATCAATGGCCAAGTAAGGAATTAACTTAGGAATTTTAATTATTTTTCATGTTTTGAAAATACAAAATGGGATTTTTTTCTTAATATTATAAGCTTGTCTGAAAAATTTTAATTTTGCACTTTGCTCTATAATGTTAACAGTGAAAATTGCGTTGTGAGGCGAGGTTGAAAATATCAGATAGTTTTCTGGAATTAGCGATCGTCCAATCTGTCTAAGTCTCGTTGAAAGTAGTGGAACGACGAGGAAAGGAACAAAGTGCGCTGGCCGCTGGGCATCAAATCGGTGCGAAGTGAAGTGGTGAAGGAAGGCGAAGACGCTCGGTCCGGTGAAAGGCCATTGCACTAACTCCGGGCGCGTGCGCACTTCCCGTTTCGGACTTAGCCTCTGAGCGCTGAGCGTGGCTGGGAACTCTGTTTTTCTGACGCGTATGTCCCCACGTACGGATAAGAGGACTCGGCACGTTTTAAACATTTCTTATTATGGACAGCGAGGGATACGTGGAAAACGGCCATGGCGAATCCGTAAGTGAATTTTTCGTCTACAATTTCAAAATGTTTGTTTTTAAATTGCTTTTCGGCGTAACTCTTCTGACGAGAGTGTTTTAACAACTCAAGTCAAAGATTAGAGTACGGCCAATATGGCGACTTTTTAATACTGGTTTATTGAGGCTTTTCACCCATTTCCGAGGATTTTCAACTCGCGTAGATTAAAAGAGGGTTTAATTTCGTTTTAGGTGATCCACTCGAGTGAAAAAGTCAAGAGCGAGTATAACCCGTCTGAAGGTAAGCGCCGCTCTGTTCGGTCCGACGGCCGGGTCGGCTACATGTACGGCGAAAATTACGTCCTGGAATGTTTCAGGGACGCCGCTCGTCAACGGCATTTCCAACGGGCTCGGCGAAAAGCACAAGAAGAAGGAGCACAGGGACAGGGACAGGGACGGCGAGAGGAGAAAAGATAAAGACAGGCACCGCGACAAGGAGCACAAAGACAAAGACAGAAACCGGGATAAGGACAAGGAAAAGCACAGGGACAAAGACAAAGAGCACAGGCACAGCAGCTCCAGTCACAGGGACAAAGACAAAGAAAAGGTAATTAAATATTTCATCTCGTTTCCATACTTAAAAGCAGTTTTAACGGTTAAACGCTTACACTTCACTCACATTTCCTTTTATTAAGTAATGTTCATACTATACATGAAAATACTTTACTTTTTGGACAAAAGTGGTTAGAACAATAAGAGACATTCGTTGATTTGCAAGAGAGCAAACTCCAATTAATTTAACACCAAACTTTCACCAATCTCTCCAACATAACCAAAAGAAACTGAGATTAGAGTGGTAAAGCATCTTGTTATGCGTTTCCTTAATAAACGAATTCACCAAAATATAAATTTTTATAAAATATAGTCAAATGAACAATGAATGAGGCAAGAATTAAGCTATTTTTTTACGATTGTGCAATATAAACCATTTAATTATATGTACTCGTCAAGTATCCGATCATTTTGGCCTAACTTCACCTTTTCATCACCATCAGATCCCATGGTGTTGGTCTTTCAGTTTATAAAACGGGTATACCATTGACAAAATAACATGTTCATATTACACATTGAAAATTAACGTAGAAATGCTTAATAGATTTTGAAATTTTGGCCTCATTTCCTCAGGAAAACAAGAAATTCATAGATTAACAAGAGAATTGGCTTTCTGCAAACACATTTTCACCGATATCTTTTTCATCACTTAATTTCCCTTCTCCAATACATGCCAAAAGAGTAATCAAATAAAAACACAGTGAATGAGGCAAGAGTTCAGCAAATTTTTCTGATTATTTCACCTGAAACACTCAATTATATTTAGTTTCCAGTCATATTGGTTTAACTTTACAATATAAACAAAGAGCACAGGCACATCAGCTTCAATCACAGGGATAACTACAAAATGGAATCATTGTTAAAAAATATATCTCGTTACCCTACTTAAAAGCCATTTTTACGGTTAACCCCTTACATCTAAACCACATTTCCTTTTACTAAGTAATGTTCAAACTGTACATAACAAATAAGCCAAAAATACTACACATTTGGCCAAAACCGCCTGGAAAAAACAAGAGACAAGAGACATTCATAGAATAGCAAGGGATCACAGTACAATTTTTTTCTCACCAACTTTCACCCCTTATTAACCAAAAGAAAACTGAATGATAAAGCATTTTGTTGCACTTCTCTTAATAAGGCACTTCACAAAAATATAAATTTAAATGAACAGAATAAACAAGGCAAGAGTTCAGCGAATTTTTCATGATTATGCAAGGTGAACCATTTTATTTTATGAATCTATTTGAAATGTGAATTTATGAGAGCCCAGTTGTATTTGCTTATCAAAACGCCCAACATTTTTGCTTGTCTACATAGTAACCATGATAAAAATAGAAAAAAAAGGTCTTAATTTTATATGCAGTTTCCAATCATTTTGATCTAATACCTCGAGAGGCAATCTCACAATTTAACATTTAGCAGGCCGTTGGATGCATATTAGCATTTCATAAGGCGAGTCCTATAACCAAATAGAGGCCACTTTTGTGCCAGGAAGGATTGGGAGGGTGGTAGTTAACCACTGGGCGGCCTCTGTGAGAAGGGTGAAAGTGCTATGAATGAGCACTAGAGTTTGTAGTGGGAAAGGCCACAATATAACTGAACATTAACAACCATTTAAATTTTAATTGGAAAATACAATAAACTATATCTGGTGAATTGAAAAAATTTCATTGATCCAATCAAAGCGTGTTAAAATCAAAAATTGTCCTTAAAAAAACCTTGTTTTTCAATACTAAAATCATTTATACAATTTCCTTACTGGTGTTTGTATTAATTGTACATATATTTTTTTAAATTCATAAATAGCTTTATTAAAACTTTTGTTAATCGTTGTCTTATTTTCATTTTAAAGTCAAAAGATGGACACAACAGCAGCAGTAAGGATAAAGACAAGGACAAAGATAGACAGCGTGACAAAGATAAGGATAGGCATCGGGATGAGAAAAAGGAGAGCTCCTCCCACAAGGATAGGGATAGGGAAAAGGAAAAAAGCAGCAGCTCTTCTTCCCACAAGGACAAAGACAAAGAACACAGGTAAAAACTTCAAAAAAAATAAATTTACCACATGATATTTTTTAAATTTTTATTTCATTGGTGGAAAAAAAATGCTGGAAATTTTATTAAATGTTTGCAGTAAGCACAATTCATCAAGTTCCAAATCTCATTCGTCGTCAAAGGATAAACACAGTTCGAGCAGTTCTTCAAAAGACAAGGAAAGGAGTGATAAACACAGAGAGAAGGACAAGAAACATTCCTCATCCTCCTCGGACAGGAAACATGGTAGCAGCAGTGGGAGCAGTAAAGACAAGGAAAGGAAAGATAAAGACAAGGATAGGAAAGAAGGTTGGTATTGTACTGTTAAAGTACCAAAAGCCGAAATGAATGCTTAAAGTACCTGTTTAAAGCACCACCTGTCAGTGGGTTAAGTCCAGGTATAGGCTTTTTGTCAACCTCTTTCTAAAAGATAGCAGGTGAACTGGACAGTGTACTTTATCTCACAAAATGAAAGCTTCTTACAAGAAAATGACTATGTCTAATTTATTAGTAACAATATAAAAATTATAGGTGGTTCAATTTATATGGTTGTTAAACATTTTTTTAATTGATTTAATTTAATAAAATAAAAAATAAAGTTAGTAACTACAAAAAATAGAACCACAAATTATTAACGTTTTAAGTTTTGTTCCACTTTATTAAAACAAATATATGTAATATTTAGTGACCGTTAATTAATGATGTAGGGACTTACATGTGATATAAATATTTTAAATTTATTTTGTCTATTTCTGGTTTTTGTACAGGGTGTTTGCCTTAATTTGAAAGATTAATCTAAATTAATTCATATTTAATCCAATTATTATTTATAAATGTATTATTGTACTTTAAGGTGTTGTCTGTATGCATTATTTATTGTGAAATTTATTTATTTTATTTTATTCTTTTTAGATAAACATAGAAAGAGTAGTAGTGGAGATTCAAAAGAAAAAGTAGTAAGTATTAACTAATTTTTTTAAACTACCACTGCAGTTAATTGTTCAGATGGTAAAATATGATTTTTATACTGTTTTTCAGGAACATGCTGAACCAATAGTACACATTAAGAAAGAAGAAGTTAGTTTTATTAAAGAGGAAGAAGAATCATTTGAATTGAAAGAAGAAGTGAAAAAGGAAGAATTTTACGATGAGAATGATTTCAAGGAGGAGGACGACGATGATAGTTATAACCTGCACATTGAAACAACAATGGAAGAATCGACATTCAAGGAAGAAGAAGATTCTGAAGAAGACATTCCATTGGTAAGAATAAACAAAAATTGTATGTGGTTTACTAAAAAATAAAAATAACAAATAATTTTTAGTCGTCTCGAAAACATTCTATGCAATCCGATGAAGACGATGACGTACCGCTCACTTCGAGGAAGAAGTTAAAGACAGAAAAACAAAAGTCTTCGAAGAAGAGAAAGAAATCCTTCGATTCTGAAGAGGAAGAAGAAGATGATTTCAAACCTGTAAGTGGTACCATGGTTTAGTTTCGTCACATTTAATTTTAATAATGTTTTACAGAATTGATCCCATTTACAAAAGCATGATTATTCTAACCGGGTTGCCCTTTCTCAGGTGAAAACGAAAGCTCAAAAGAAGTCATCAAAGGTAAAACAAGAACAGAATACGAGTGCAACTCAGAGTCCAAGAAAAAAGAGGAAGCTAGAAGAGGAACAGGAAGTTTGGAAATGGTATGTTGTGGATATATAACATCTCAATTGATAATAGTTTAATATCTTCTAAGTATTTATTTTAGCGCAAAAAAAAAAAACGTTAGCTTTTAGTTTTCCCCAACATATGTAGTTAGATTGTTAATTTTTTCCTTCTATTTAATAGTTTGGTCTTTGTGAACGTGGTCTGAACAATGTCTTGCATGCTGTTTTTAATTTAAAAAAATGATGTCGAACTTCAGCTAATAGGAAGCAGTGTTTCATATGCGAGTGTTGTCAGAGGTTTGCAGAAAGTAGGAGTATTGGTTTTGTACAATAACGAGATTTTTTTATATTCATTTATTTATTATTATTATTTTATTTATTTTATTTTTAATGGGGCCAGGAGGTTTCAGTCAGTTGACAATGTAATAGGTTTGTCCAAACCGTCAGTAGTTATGTTTAGGGCATTCTGACTTGCTACAAATACAAACTCAACTGTTTGTTGGCCATTTCAACATGGTTTCAGGCTAAGTTTGTAACTGGCTTTTACCAACAAAACAGTCCGAGGATTATGCTAGAGACTGGTAATCAGAGACAAGCAGATGTCCCCCTCCTCGTTCGCTCCCGTCAAATCAGAAAGTTTTATTTATAACTAAAACCCAGGATTTGTATACAAGAAAATACTCAAATATGCAGTTAATTTGCTCTAAAAATATTAAAATACACAGGGTTAATGTCAGAGACATCACACAACTAATAATTGAATTGTTTTTAATGCAGAATTTTTTTTTTAATCTAGTATATATACATTTTGAAATAAAATATAACAAAAATTACAGTATAACAAACAAAAATCATATAATTAGAAAGAGGACTGACACTTGACTATTTTTGTGTTTCAAATGAGGCCCTTTTTCCTTCCATAGACTTGACTGCTTCAGGAAAATTTATTTTTCGGGAAAGGAAAAAAATGCTCCCAGAAGTTTTGGAAATAGGAGCATCAATTCCTCAAATAAGATGCCGATTATTAGAATTCTGTTGTGTCGGTGTGTTCATGTTACTAGAATAACATATTCAAGTAAAATAAAAATGCAGAATAAAATTTTAACCATTTTGCCTCGGAAATACAATTCAGATAAATAATTGATTAAAATCGCTCAGGTATTCCAAAACAGTATCCATTACAAAATAAAATAAACCCAATGCATAAATATATAAAGAAAAATTCCATATACAATTTAAAACGTTATGATTTTTAAAACCTTACAAGCCGTACATGAGGAATGTACCATTTTATGGTAGGTCCAAGACAGAAAAAAGTGTTCTGACAGAGTTAAGACTCCAATCACTCGATTTTCGGGCACATGAAGTCAATAAATCGAGTTAGTTGACAACTAGGTTGAGATTGTGTGTTGGAAAAACTTGAACACTACAGAGGACAAGAGTGGCTATAGGAAACTCATGCACTTTGGAGTGAAAGTGTTATAGAAATTAACTATATACACAATAATGAACACCCTGGATTGTACATTCCATGTTTGATCTAAATATAGCAAACCGCTCTTATCATATTTGTTATAACATGTGTAACTTCACAGTACAGATTCTTTATCATTTCTCATCAGACTTCTCGAACGACCTCACCAAAATTTCTTTTGCATAATTGAGCTCCTTAATGAGCTGGTTGAACAGTTATTTTTGGGAAAATGTAAAATATGTAGCTTGATAGAGAAATGTTCTTGCCCAATGTAAAACTAGTGTCATCTCATTTCTTTTTTTAATTTTTTTTTTTTTTTAAATTCCCCTCCATTTCCCCTCCTTTTCTTGTGAAGGTTAGTCTTTTATAACAGTTTTGTACCCTGCCTTACTCTAACTAGAAATAACCAAAAGGCTGTAGTGCTCTACTTATGAAGTTTATTTCATCAAACACCTACGGGCAAAATATTTTTCTTCACATATCCTTCATATATTGTGAACAATTTGTTAATCGTATATCTTCATCTATTTTTAGAAGGTTAAATTTTCATGGTCGTTTAATAATATATACTAATGATATAAATCATAGTTATGTAGAAAGAAATATTTTATACGAGTAGCATGCTTACATAATTTTCTTTTAAAGGTGGGAAGAGGAAAAGAAACCTGATGGCGTCAAATGGAATTTCCTGGAGCACAAAGGTCCTGTTTTTGCACCTCCTTATGAGCCGTTGCCGCACGATGTCAAGTTTTATTATGATGGTGAGCAATTAAAACTACTATTTTAAAAAAACCCTTAACAAAAAACGAATCTTATTTCAGGCAAAGAAGTCAGGTTGTCTGAAGAAGCAGAAGAAGTGGCCACCTTTTACGGCCGAATGATCGAGCACGACTACACTCAAAAAGAGGTCTTCAATAATAATTTCTTCAAGGATTGGAAAAAAACTATGACGCCCAAAGAGAGGGAGCTCATCACAGATCTTAGCAAGTGCAATTTCAGGCATATTAACGCTTATTTTCAAAAGAAATCTGAAGAAAGGAAAGCGATGACAAAAGAAGAAAAAGCGGTAAGAAATTTAACTTTTTATTATCATGGTATAGTCATCGATGTCTTGAGTAAAATAAAGTTAATTTCATTTTTTAATAAGTTTTGGGTTTATACTATGAAATTTTTTTAATTAATTGTATGAAAACTAAACATTATATTAATCTATGTCCAGCAATTATAATTGTCCATATTAATTAATTCAATTAATTATTCTTTTTATCTAAGGTCTTGGTTGAGATGAAAAAATTAGATTATTTGAGATGAAAAGTAATCAATCCACTAACAGCTCCTCGTGGGCACTTCATAAGTGATTACACAACATTTGAAAAATGGCAAAAAGGAGGGAAAATTCGAAAGGTTGTATGTTGAGATGGGGAGTTGGTGTCCGAGTGGATTGAAGTCACGATAGCTCAAGTGGTTAGAGCAGCTGCATTTTGAGTCGAAGGTCGTAGGTTTGAATCCCGCTCATAACACTAACTTTTTCATCTCAGCCAAGACATTAGATAAAAGAAGAATTAATTGAACTAGACATTATGTTGATGCAACAAAACTTAGAATTTAGTTATTTTTTTATCACCTTAATACATTGAGAAACACAAAATTCAAGGAAAAGTAGCAGGGAACTTTTTGTCTTAATAACTAAAGAAACAAATTTTTAGCTTGATTTACAATGGAAAAAAAGATTTTTGAAAATGTCTAAACTTTCAAAATTTAATATAAACTAAAATTTATTTGGTTAATGATTTCTGATTTAGGCCTTAAAAAGTTATAACTGTTTTATAATAATTGTTGGTTGTTTTTTATCTATTTATCTATTTCGGTTGGCATATCCTCACTGTTTTGTTTTTGTGCCCAGTTTATAACTGGACATAGCTAAATGCAAAAGTGCTAATAAAATAGCAAAATATTAAAAAGACCAAGCTACACGTTAATGACCATACAGATCTAAGGAAGACATATAAAATGTTATAACAATTTAAGCCAATAATCAGTCATTTTAAAATTTTAATGCAAGAAAAAACAAGTTGAATGTGTTTAGATTGTTTTCAATTTAAGGCGAGCAATTTGCAAACAATTTACTTTTTTCCTTTTCTTTTCTCCCCCATAAAACAGTTTACCTTGTTATGATGGAAATAGCACAAAAATATTTTGTATGAGCGATTAATTTTTAATTTTTCTCATGTTATTCTGAGGTAATTGATTTTTCTTCTTTTTGGACAGGAATTAAAAAAGAAGAACGAGGAACAAGTACAAGAATACGGATTCTGTATAATTGACGGGCACAAAGAAAAGATCGGAAACTTTAAAATTGAACCGCCGAGTCTGTTTCGTGGCAGAGGGGAACATCCTAAAATGGGTATGCTTAAAAAGCGCGTCATGCCTGAAGATGTGTCGATCAATTGCAGCAAAGATTCCAAGATACCCGTACCACCCCCTGGTCACAAATGGAAAGAAGTGAAGCACGACAACACGGTATGTTTTGACGCCGTTTAAATTTATGTTTTATATTATGTAAAATAGTTTTTTTATTAAGTTTTTACGACAATTTGTAGGTTACATGGCTTGCCAGCTGGACTGAAAATGTACAGGGCCAAGTAAAATACGTTATGTTAAACCCATCTTCAAAACTAAAAGGTGAAAAAGATTGGCAGAAGTATGAGACAGCCCGTAAACTTGCTAGCCAAATTGATAAAATCAGAAGAGACTATAGGGAGGACTGGAAATCCAAGGAAATGAAAATAAGACAAAGAGCTGTCGCTATGTATTTTATTGATAAAGTAAATATTAATTTATTTTTCTTCTTTGCCCTCCACTGTACATCAACAACAATTAGATACTGATTTCCATTCAAGTCTAATACTTAAAACTACACCTAGACAGCAGACTGATATGGAATCCCCACACAAGACTTAACAACACAAGAGGCAACTTAACTAATGGAAGACATGAACGAATTACGAAGACTTTTAGCACCAAAATCCTTCTTGACCATCAACATTAAACTAACTTAATCTTGACCTAACTAACCTAACAAGTCTTAACTGCGACTTCTTTGGACTGTGGGGTTCTGACACCATTAAACATCCAGTGCATCCAATCTTTCAAATCGAAAGTCCTCAAACAAATCATCAAAGCTCATTACTACATCACTAACCCTCACTATCCACAACGACCTCGACTTGTTTTTCAGTGAACTGACCTGTTTCCAATTCCGAGTTTCTCATGAACCTGTCAATCCATCCTAACAGTCCAGTTTGAGCTCTCTCTACTCATTCTTATTCCCAGAACCTGCCACATCACCTTAACCGTCAATGGCATCGAGACCTCCTTGCCCCTTAATCCCTCATACTGAGTGCCAGCATATTGCTGTGACCGTCAGAAAAACATTGTGATCACATTTTTAATATGTACTAATATGTATAAGCTACAAAAAAAAAAAAAGTTTCTGAATAGTTTGTTTACAAATTATCTTTTATGTGTAGCTTGCGCTCAGGGCTGGTAATGAGAAAGATGAAGATCAAGCAGATACAGTAGGCTGTTGTTCTTTAAGGGTCGAACACATCCAGCTATTCCCAGAAAAAGACGGTAATTTATTTTCTTTGTTTTATTACAATAGTTTAATTTTACTTCATAATAAATATTTATATCTCATATAATTTTAGGCAAAGAATATGTTGTAGTATTCGATTTCCTTGGTAAAGATTCCATAAGGTACTATAACGAAGTGCCTGTGGAGAAACGTGTTTTTAAAAATCTACAACTTTTTATAGAAGGAAAGAAAGGAAGTGATGATTTATTTGATAGATTAAATGTAAGGCTTTTTTTATTTAATTTGTATTTGTATCATTAGTTTAAGTCTTTACACTTTTTTTAAATCTTTTAGACAACAGTTTTAAACAAGCATCTGACAGAATTAATGGATGGACTTACGGCTAAAGTGTTCCGTACTTACAATGCTTCATGGACATTACAACAGCAGTTGAATGAGCTTACAAAAGATGATTATACCCTTCCTGAGATGGTATTACTAACTTGTTTTTTTATATTTTTTAATGAAAAAGTGGGAAAACATAATTTTTCATTGTTTTGTTTTTGTAGTGCTTGGCTTATAACCGGGCAAATCGTGCAGTCGCTATTCTCTGTAACCATCAGCGTTCCGTTCCAAAATCCCATCAAAAATCGATGGAGAATCTTAAAGAAAAGATTTCAAATAAGAGGGAACAGATAGAAGAAGCTGAAAAGCAGTACAAGTATGCAAAAAAAGATGCGAAAAATGGATCGGCCAAGGAGAAGATAGTCGCTGATAAAAAGAAGAAGGCTCTCGAGCGATTAAAGGAACAGTTGAGAAAACTCGAAGTCCAAGAAACGGACAGGGAAGAGAATAAGACAATCGCCTTGGGAACTTCAAAACTGAACTATCTCGATCCTAGAATTTCCGTTGCTTGGTAAGTCATGCCGGCTGTTTTGGACGATTTGTCACAATTCTAATATGCTTTGATTTTTTCCAGGTGTAAGAAGCACAACGTCCCAATAGAAAAAGTATATAACAAGACACAACGTGACAAGTTTAGATGGGCCATCGATATGGCCGGACCTGATTATGTGTTTTAACTTAGTGATAAAAAGTAACTTGTGACGTTGCAGATCTTAATGAACAATTTTTTTACATTTCAATTTTAATTATATTATTTAAATAAGTGTGGCATTCACTTATGAGTAATGTATGGAAATTCTTAGAATAATTTCTTATTATTGGACTACTCTAGTGAAAGAAAGCACGCACATTTACAATAATTGGTGTTTTTTGTTTTCATTTCAAATAAACTTGTACAGAATGTCTTTCCAACAAGAAATTATTTAAGGAAAATATTTATTGGTTTTAGTTTTGTCGAATTTATAATCTATTTATTTAATCATATAAGTTTGTTTTAAAGCAATATTTTTTATAGAATAGATTTGAGTTCATTTTAAGTACAACAAAGTAGTAACAGTGTTATTATAATAATAGGTTTTATTTTGATGTATGTATTAAATTTTTATTTACCCAGACGCAGCTTATTTTAATTTCTATCCAAGTTTTATTATTTTTATAAAAAGAAAAGTTCATAAAATTTTTATAATTTGCAAAACAAACTGTTTAATTAATTGCTGATATAAATTTATTTTTAAATTAATGCCAATTTTGGTGAAAAAGTTGGGATTCAGGCTATGTTATTTATTGTATGTATATTTTGATTAATAGAATATGATAAAATGATTTACTACAATATTTATTTTATTAATTCAGATTTTTATTATAGAAAGTAATTTTATAAATTTCCATATGAGAAATAGAACAAAATTGACAATTTATGTTGTCCATATATTAAATTTTTATTATTGGTGTGAACCAATTTTGAGAAAAATATGTAAATAGTCTTTATTTCATAAATTGTATGAACGTTAAGGAAATAAACTGTAGTCTTATAAAGATAAAAAGAATTAAGAATGAAATTGTATTTATGTATTGTCCATAATTAGATAATTTAGATATTATTTAAATGATAGATTTTTGATTGTCATCTGTCAACAGAATGAAATAAATTAACTACTTTTTTTGAGAAAAAAGAAAATGTAAAAAAAAAATAGTTTTAAACATTTGTGATTGATTACATATATTTTCCCTTTACAAATTTCTCCTTGAGTCAAACTGGTTTTAATTTTTATCTAACTGTAGGTAAAGTCACTGTATGTTATAAGAATCATGTAAATACAAAATTTTGTGGTTATTTAATAAAACTTGTTCTCATTACATCCCATTGTCTAAGTGAACTTTCTTTCATAAAATTTAGCATATAACTTCCAACTCGTAGACCAACAGAAACTGAAAGTGCATGTTTCTTTTCTTATTGAATAATACTAATTGGTACTATTTTGTCGTCTGATATTCCTAAGATAAAAATTAATTCAAAAACAAAACGAAAATTTAAATTGTTTTTAATGAACGAATTTTGGTTATAATCTTATTGGTCAGTCAAGACTCAAGACAGACTTCAGCATCACAGGAATCACTAAAGATAGAAATTTTTTGTTTTGCAAATTTACTCTCCAAACCTCAACCCTTGAATAAATAATTATTCAGAAATCGTGTGATGCGGTCTGGTGTTATGTAGGTTTCAGAAAAACATTTTCTTTATCGTGCCAACGTTACGATCTTTATTGAGATCATCTTCAGGGCCTGGGATATATTTTGCATTGTATAAATTCACTTTTTCACTGAAGATGATCTCAATAAAGATCGAAACGTTGGCATGATAAAGAAAATGTTTTTCTGAAACCTACATCACATCAGACCGCATCTCACGATTTCTGAATAATTATCGATTAACGGTCACTAATCACCACACATTTCTACACCTGAATAAATTAAACCTTTGGTTAGTGCTATCTGACTGCATAAACTACTTAGAACATTTATGATCATCTTGGCCTGTTAACTAAATAACTAAAAATGGCAAGTTTTTTGTTTTGCAAGTTGTTTCATCAAATTATGAGCCATTGCAGACAGGTTAAATTATTGGCTGACAGAATTGTCTGATTCGGTTGCAGTCACCCACACTAGGCCAACTTAACCATTTTGGTGGTGTATAGACTGTTCAATATAAAAAGCCAAAAAATTTCTTATACGTGTTGCAAGTCAAAGCTGCAGTGGATGGATGCTTTTATAATAAAATCTATCACAAATCTCATTGGTTAAAACGTTTAAAATTATTATAAATGTAATCCGAGACAAGGGTCTCGGTAGCCGAGTGGTTAAGGTGTCAAGACTGTGTTTGTACATCCTGCGGTCATGGGTTCAATTCCATCTGAACTTCTAATTTTTTTCTGACGCCTATGGGGCTCGATGGCCACAATTGACAAAATTGTCATGGCGCTCATCAATGGAAGATCTAAGGAGGGATCGGATCTCAGCGACCATGAATTTGCTCCCAACCCCTTCAAAAATAAATTTCTTCAATGGAAGAACACAGGGGGCTCAAATTGTGTTGCAAGCCCCCCAAAAATGGAGCCAGGAAAGAAGTACAATAAGCTGTATACTACAGCTGCAGTGCTCAGGGGAACTCCAGTTCCTGGTATCCATTAGAAAAAAAAATCCAAGACATGTCTTAATTTCGCAGTGGTGAATCCGGTAATTTCAATTTCTTTGGCAATAGCACTAAAGCTTTTGCAAGTTTCAAGTAATGTTTCAACTTGAAAGGAATGATTCATAATTTGAACAGAAGTCAAAACTGGATGGGATTTTGAATGGATCAAACTTTAGTTGATTAACCAGAGTTGATTAACAAAACTTGAATCGTTCAAACACTCCTTAAAAGGAATAAGGACTGTTTTATTACATATGGATGTCTTGTGTTTCTTTGTGTATATTGAGAATGAATGTATTTATTTATTAGCGTGAATTTGTAGTGTGAGAGGGTTGAAGGCAGATTATCAAGTACTCCACCAGCCTGAGTGAAAATCTGGAATAGGGCACATATAGGCTGCGAGAAGTGATAGGTAGGATAGGCTCTATATGTGTGTGCGTGTGGGTAGCTGAGCTTATATAAATTAGTAATCAGTTAATTAAAAGTCTAGTGTGCGATGTGTCTAATTTGGAAAATAATAAAAAAAGGACTTGACTGACAAAAGAACAGACTAACAATTATGATTATGCAAATACTAAATTGCAACTGGCAAAAATTGGCAGTACCAGTGGCAAATAATAGTTTTGTAAAAACTACCATTGCATGCTTCTTCTACTTTTATCATATTTGTTTACATTGGAGGTTTGTGGTGCTCCTCATAAAAACCAAACTGCCAAAAAACTTTTTTTATTTGAAAGACATCACTGTATCTTGTATATTGTGTTTCTGCATGTATGTACGAGCTTAGTGAAACGTTTTAAATTAAACAGGATGAAGAAAAAATCTAAGGTTATTTCATTGTCTCATGTTTCTATAATTTTATTTGAACGTTCACAGTACTTACAGTTGTATCAGACCTTTTTATGGAAATTTTTTTGTCATTACATGTCCAATTTGAAAGGAATTGCACTTTAAGGTCTGCCAAACATTTTGGAAAACTAAATTTGTACATTTCAAAATATGTGTGCAGCATTTACATCTTATGCAAATTATTTTTAAGTTGACAAATTAGTTCATAACAACTGTTCTTTTTGGAATTTAAATAGAGTAAATTTACATCACAAAAAATATTGTTCGTACAAAAAAATATAAGTAATTTTCCATTTTTAGTTAAACAATTTGTTTTACAGTGGGACAATTTAAATTTTGAACAGTGGATTAAATTCAATTAAAAAAATCAATATTCCCATAAAATGGAAGGATTATCCTTACAAAACTGTCCTTTCGTTTCAAATACATATTCTATGTTTAAAAGTTTTGATTCTGTATTTTTATTATGGGAAAGGCAATCATTGTTATATTCTATTAGAAAATATGTAGAAAAAAATGTAAAAACACATTCTGCAACATTGCTTATTTACTTTTAAAATGTAATGTTTTTAATTATATTTAACCATACAATTTGTACTCTGTAACATTGTATAAAAAATAATAAAATTAATAACAAAAAGAAGTTTTTTCAAGTGACTTTGGCAATTTCCTTTCTATTATATAATAAAAAAATGCCTATCACAATGCATTATAGAAAAACTAACACTCATTAAACATATCATTACAATAATTTATTGCTTATTTAATTGTAGGTAATTTAGCTTGATTACAACATTTAAATTTTTTTTTACTAATTGTTATTGTAATATTAATAAAAACCATTGATGTAGTTGTACAAGAAAATGTTAATTTAGAACTTTTCTTAATACATTAGTGAAACAGCTTTCTTTTCCAACTTACCATTGCAATTTTACAACACAGATATTAAAATTTCAAGTTATCAAAAGAAAAACCATCAGAAATGTTCAGACTTTATACTAATTTTCAATCTTCAAAACTGCTTTTGAAAAAGATCTTCAATCGCTTATAAAATCTCTCAAACAAGATAGTTTCCTTTAAGAAATTTGTAAAACTTTTAACATTTTATCGTAAAGAGGTAATTATAACAAGATGTAAAAGTGGATTTTGTAAAAAGGGCTTCAAATTCAACTTGCAAATATAGCTTCTTCGTTACCTTTTTATTTTTAAAAAATATAGTTGATCAATTTGATAACGTTAAATTCATTTTAATCAGTCAAGCAAACCTCGTGGTTTTCCTACAAAAAATTCTTGCAACAGACACTGAACGGTTCAATAAATAAAAGCAACAGAATGACTAGAATTCAAAGCTCTTTTCAGCATACACAATAATACTAAAATATCGAAAAGTACAATTTTTCACCAATTCCATGGGAAAGAAATAATTATAAATGACCTTTTGAAAAAATTGATTTGGTTAAATTATTAGTAAAAAATATCATCTTTCAAATTTTATAGTTGAGAGTAATGTTTTTGTTAATTTTTATTTTGAAATAATTTCTCCCAAAAATACAATATGGCTAATTTTATTTTTTAAATAAAGTTCTATTCATGTAGTGCACCTAGAGACTATTCTAATTATCAAACATGGAATTGTTCTAGATTAGTATTTTATACAAGGAAATAGGTACAATCAACTTATTTATACATATTTTTTATTTTAATATATACACTCTTATATCCAGAATAAATAAATGTTAAAAATACCAATCAGCCAATTTTCTGATGTCTCACATTTTCTTATAGCGCTAATATTGCATTAAATGTCTAAACGAATATGAGAATAAACAGGTAAGTAGAAAAATTTACACTATTAACAATTTCTCTTTATATAAATACTCTCAAAATATACTGTCAGAAAATTGGCTATGGGATTTTTGTTCTCTCTATGTTCACATTTAAAATTTTTTGAAAGATTATCTTCTTTTTATTTGCATCAAAGTAATGTAGTATATGTATAAGTAGGCAATACACATAATCCAAATAGATAAAAATAGTTTATATATATATTTATTTATGAATTAAAAATATATTTTGCTTTACATTACATTCAAACTTTTTGTTTAAAACATTTTGATCACAATATTCTCAGTTAAAATAGGGTAACTATATAACTTTGGTAGTATTGTCAAAAAACAAAAAAGGAAAATTTGGACCACTTAAAAATTATAAAGGAATATAACGACACAATACATAGATATGTTTGTACAAAATTTACCGAAAGTGGTGTTGATGTCTTGCTTAATTATATCATCTATAATATTGTTTTCTTTTAAGCAAAGCCTGGGTACAAAGAAAAATAATCAAATAAAAAAAATAATAAAAAAATAAAAACAAAACAACAAATTCATGTTAGCATTTCAATATGATTGTCATCAGAACTGTTGTAAATCATCATACATAATCATGATATTTTTTCTTATACTATTTTAAAATGATTAAAAATGTTGAGTCTTTCATTAATTAAAAAATTTATTGATTTGCAAAGTAATAATATAAGCTGTGATTTTTTTATAAACATTATAATGCTAAAAATGTTTTCTACTTTATTTTTATACAGCTTACTTGAGATACAAAATTCTTTTTTTCTGTGAACATAAACATTTGTAACATTTTTTCTCTTGCAAAATAAATGTCGAAAGTTAATCATAGTTTAATTTAAAAAATTGGCGAAAACAATTTTTTCAAGATAATCTAATAATCAAATTAATAAATTTTTATAGTGGGTACCAATAAATTTAGGTCTACAATTTTTAAAGGCTAAATAGACATTTAAGAAACTACTTCAAAAATGGTCATTTGAAAGTAAAATAACATTTTTTTTAAATAGCTCTCAAGCTTTTCTATCTTCAAAAACAGTCTTTACTTCACAATTCAAGCTCTTGTTTCAATTCGTAACAGTGAAAGAACATTTCGTGTATCCCTTTTCGTTAATGCCGGGTCTACACAAAATTCAGTTTACCGGGAGAAAAAAAATCTTGATGATTGACTCAAACCACCATCGTACTCGATGCAAAGGCTTTAATTGACCAATCTGCCGGCAGTTCATCAATCCTTGGACCTTCAATTGTAATTACACAATCGTATATTTAATATAATATAGTTTTGTTCAAGGACATTTGGCATAATTACATCAACATTAAACTTCAATTTTTAAAAAGCGTTCGAAGGCTTGATTTAAAAATAAAAATTTGAAATAAATATATCAAAATAAGATTATTGAAATGACTAAAATGAACTTTTTATTTATTATAATATTATTAATTTATAATAATATTTGTATTAAAATTATGAATGGCCATTAGGACCGACTTCAATTTCATTGTCTTGCAATCAAATTCAGCATCACCACTTTAGGAAAGTTCACAATTGAATTATTAAAACAATTCGATTTCTAAAAATATTACTTACACAATTTTTTTAAGAAATTAAAACGTTCAGCTAATAATTAACACCTAGGTAAAAACCTCAAAAGATAAAACCTGAAATATATGTTTACATTAAAACACAGAAAAAAAGAAGAAGAACGTCAGGAATGATTCCTTTCTGTGAATTAATAATTCACACACGATCAAGATGAATTTGTGAAAATATAATAATGTTTATTTACATTAAAACAAAAACATGTACACACACTTTATATTTATATTAATAAGTCTGTTTTATATTATTTTCTTGTCGATAATTAAAAAAATTAGGTCATTATAGGAAATTAAATAATGAAATTTTTTACATAATTTAGAAATTGTCAAATTTTTAAGATGTCTGCTTGGCAACAAATTCGTGTAAAATGTCCCAAGCCATCGCAACATCATTCCTTGTTATTCCAAGAGCCCTTATTACAGCTTCTTGAGCATAGCCTACATTAAAAATAATAATAATGATAATTAAAAAGAATTAAATTAAAAGTTAAATTATTAGAATTGTTAAAAATGTGCCAAACTTACCTTCTGAAGTTAACTTAGCAATGTGGTCCATATTTAGATTTTCATATGGAGACATTGATGTTGGATCAGGCGATAACCTTACAATTGACGAGTTGCTCGTTGCTGAAGCTGTCGACTCTACTGAAGATCCTCGAGAAGGAATTGGTTTACATAAATCTACGACTAGTCTTGTACTAGAAAATAAAACATTCTTAGCAAATGACCTTTTTATTGATGTTTACTAAGACAATTTAGGTTGTTTACCTTGCATCCGATATGGGAGATTTCACATGATGAGTCGAAACCGTGGGTAGAAGTTCTACACTAGTTGTTGCACAGTATACCGGCTTAACCATTGTAATCTTACCTAATAAAACAAGATAATTGAAATACTATTTGCAATTTTAGTATTCAGTTTTGAAATTGTCTATTGTATTTATAAGTTTTACTTGTTTGCAGAAAGGAAAATTTAGAAGTTAATAGTATACTACCTCTAATGTCTCATCAATGTTAGTCTAATTGTATAAGAAGGTTCATGCATACTAGACTACTAACCAGGCATAATTATGGTGTTTTCATAACTTGCTTCTTCAGTTATATTTGCTAATTCGGCATAATGGACTTGGGGTTGTAGCAGGGCTGACGATGGAGGAGTTGGTGAGGAATGAACCGGCATCGGTGGCAAAGGTTTAAACAACATGTCTGCAGAACCCCGCCTTTCAACTCCCGTACTGAACACAGGTGTTGTTTGAGATTTGCAGGGTAGCTGTTGATTTATCATAGCAGGTGAAAGTGAGGGACATGACTGCACTCTACTCTCCATGCTCATCCTTCCTTCTACCAAGTTATAACGAGAATCTTAAACATACAAAAATTGAACAAAAAGAAGAAAAAACTTTTTAGCTACTCACTATGCTTAATCATACCTTCTGTGGTGGAAGTAGATTGGTGCTGGACTTGGGAATAAGGTGTGACAGGCGGTGGCGGAGGAGCATCTTCTTTAGGAACTGACATTATGGGAAGTGGTGGCGATCTTCTAGGTGGCACAGGAGGTGCAGGCCTTCTCGCCATGTGAGGAGAGCCTCTTGGAGAAATCATAGGACTTCGCCCACCCTAAAAAAACACACACAAAAAAAAAAACGGTTTATTTATGTTAAGAAAGTAAATATAATTATCCATTATACATTTTTTATATTAAAATACTTTAACTAGAAAAGCTACACAAATGATGAAAAATGATACCAAGCAAACAAATATTTTAAATACTGTAATAAAGGTAGAAATTGTTTTATTTTCATTTTTTAAACATATATGAATATGACAAAATGCCCTAGATACTCAGCATATACATGAAAATTAATTAAGAAACCCATAGAATTTTTAATCTAATAAAATAAATAAGGGAGCTGTGGCCATGTTAGGATTGAGTTGGTTTTGAAGTAAATTCGAGAGTCTGTAAAAAATTTAAATATGCCAATCTGTAGACATATTTAAGATTGTTTTGCCTTGATGATGACATTAAAATAGGCCGAAAGCTTGGCAGTAACAAATGAATTTGCTTTTTTTTCAAGGCCTTACCTTGATCCAAAGTGTTTGTTTGTGAAAAGTCATTACTTCTAACATTGAAAAAAGAAATAAAACAGCAAATTGTAGGATTTTTTTTTTTTAAGTTGTTCATGTACTTGTAGATTGAGTTTCTTTTATGAACTTAACTATTAGTTATTGCTTTTATTTCAAACATCTGCATTTTGAAATTTCCACTTCTCATCCTCAGTGACCACCTTCCGTGAATCTGGAAGAATGTGCCAGTCCCAAAATATAGACAATTTTTGGAATAAAAACAATAAGAGGATGTTAAGTTTCATAAAAAAAACCTGATATAGAAATAAAACATTTGTATCTTGCTCATCCCCAATCCTTGCTTGCAAATTCTCAAAGGCTTTGTTTGACCAGATAATTTAAAAAATCACACAGACAAATCACAAAATGTGGCAAAATGCTAAAATACATTTGACAGAAAAATGTAGCAATGATAAATGTACACACCTCAAAATGTACCACAAAGAGATTTTGCCTGCAGACAATATACCAGTATTTTATCTTGCTAATTCTGTAAATAATTTTCTGACACACCTTTTTGCAACTATTATTAAAAATATTTGTTCCCCAATGAAAAACATTTTGTGGATTTTCCTCCTGGTGTCTGCGGAACAACATATGGTTTATTTCTGATCATTTTAGTTTGCCAATCCTCTCTGTTCAGGTCCATCAAGCGGATTTTCAGATACTTCAGAGTTGGCTTATGAAAAGACCCAACAATAAAGATGAAGAAAAGACTAAATACATCTAATAGGCCAAAACAGTAAGGTAGGCAGACCAAAATGATTGAAAACAACCAAACTACTAAAAGAATTTTATTCTTAAATTTTATGTAAATGAGTTACTTGGTCAATTTCTATGCTTTGAGACACACCACTGAAGGTGAAATGTCAACATGAATAGTGACAAATCTGCCAAAAACAGGTATGATTGGAGGTGATAAAGCTACAGGTCTTAGCTGCATTTTTATTTGTTATTTTGTGTGATAAACACTTAATTTTAAAACATATAACTTAAACTTACCCGGCTATCAAAGGGATCGCATCTAGGGGAAAGTGACAATGCCTGAAGGCTTGTGTGGTTGTGGTTCCACAAAAGTGCCATATCCTGTAACAGAATTTCAAATAGGCTGTAGCACTACTATTAAAAAACTGCTTAAAACTATTGGAAATTAAAAGATTTGGAAACAATTTTTATAGACATTTTCTAGTGTATTACATGCACAGTTGTCTTATTGTTTAATTTTAAAAAAAGTTTACTGTTTGCTTAGTGCTTACTGGCAAAGTTACTAATTATTAAATTAGTACTAATTTACTAATTGTTTTAAAGATGTGTTATTCTCAAATTTTTGTTTTTTAATTTAATTTGGTAGTGGAAAATTAACTGTAAATTGGAAATGTACTGAAGCAAAAATAAAATTGAAATAAATATAAAATCCATATTTGCTTAGTGGACATAATGACCATACTAATTATTCCAATTAATTATCCATTTTATCTAAGGTTTTTGGTTGAAATGAAAAATTAGTGCCACAAATGGGATTTGAACCCGCAACCTTTGGCTCAATTTGCCACTGCTCTAACCGCTTGAGCTATCATGATAACTAGCAATGAAATCACACCAACTAAAGTTACAATAGCTCAAGTGATTAGAGCAGCGGCTTATTGAGCCGAAGGTCATGGGTTCGAATCCCACTCGTGGCACTGATTTTTCATCTCAATCAAAAACCTTAGATAAAAAGAATAATTAATTAGAATAATGAATATAAAATGTTTTAAATGTATATTTGCAAAATAAAAAGGAAACATGCAAGTTTCACCCAGTAAATAGTTGTTTCTTTAATTAAAATTAAAACCAAGCTACATGAAAATAAAGTAAATAGTAAACCAGTAATTGATTTAATTATACAATCAACTTGTAACCAGGCTACAATGAGAAGGGTAAATAATTGCATTATTTGTGCTTGAAATAAATATTTTTACTGGATAATATTCACTGACAAGAACAATTTTCTATTATATTTGTTCAGCTTGGGTTTTAAGGCCAATAATAAAAAAGGATAGGATTTCATGCTTCAAAAATCTAATTAAGCTAGGTAATCTGCACCAAAAGCTATCATAATTGAATAAGCAGAAAATGTGTGGTGTTTTATTCATTCTTTCCATTTTTAATTTTACTGTTGCAAATAACAAAACTTACATATTTAAGTATTTTTTTGAAATCGGCTTCAATGGTTTTTTCTCTTGATAATGGGTTTAAGTAGTTGATTTTTATCGAAACAATTGAAATCACACCAAAAAGAAGTGAATGGTGTAATAGAAAAGAGTTGGTAAAATGTAATTAACATACCCTTCGATGCCGTCGGCATTTCCTCTTTGACCACCTTCGCCTTTGATACACCTCAAGTGTGAATGAAAAAGCAAAAATGTGCAAAGGTCAATGTGAAACTCCGCAAATGAAAAGCACAATTTACATCATTTAGCTTTTTTCAAGTAAAATATTTCTTAAAAGTGTGTAAAAACTTAATTTTCAGAGTGACAAAACTACTTTATGACAGTAGCGAACATCTTAAAAATTAACAAATGACATGAAATTTGATTAAATATGATACACAGACTGAGAACCAACATTATGTTCCAATATAAGAAACATAAAAGTAAAGGTTTTTCAGAAAATTAGGTGTTATAATTATCAATTAAATTTTTAAAAAAGCGGTTACTCTGTCTTTTGTTTTAATTTATTTCCCGTCTTACATAACTTACAACAATGCATATACATAAATAAATAAAATTAATATCAAATTTGAAGTTTTAAATACATCCAAATTATTAATTGCAGATAGCAATCGGTATGAAAAGGAGTTTTTTGCCAGAAAAAAAGGTAATATTCTAAAAAAGTATAGTTTTGTAGATATAAATAACAAAGGTAATGAAAACTAATTATTCCAAAAGAATATAAATAAAAATATTTTCTCCAGTCATATTGTTTATTAAATATATAATATTCGCCATAATCGCTCAGGGAACCATTTTTAATTTTTATTTTATCATTGTGGTATGCACTCGGATTGTCAATTAATCTAAAATTATCGTTGAGATAATTCGGTTAAAGTGATATATTATTTATCTTTATGGACCACAGTGATAATTGTCTACGTATTGTAAATGACATAATAATTTCCTGAAACAAAACATTTTTAGCCTGATTGTCCCTCGTCATTGTGATCTGCTTATTTTTGCCTACTTCACCTGTCAGTAACATATTGACATTTTGCCACTTTTAGGGGTTGGTCTGGTGTGTTATTCTGTCTAGCACGCTTTTTTCTCATTTAAGAGACAAAACTAGCGAAAATCAGCAGACCAGGATAATCAAACTACAGTTCTTTATATCACAGATCTCACCACGTTTCCATTTCTTTCTTTACAATTCTTTAATGGCTTTTTGAATTAAGCAAAGTAAGATTATTATAATTAATCACTATATTTCATGGTCCTATTGACCAAATAACGTCTTTCAATTAATTAATTTTTTTATGTAACATACTGGTTGAAATGAAAAAGTTAGTGTCACGAGAAGGACACTGACTTCTTCATTTCAACCAATACCTTACATAAAAAGATTAATTAATTGAAAGAAATTATAATTAATGTTTCAAAAGATGTTTTTTGAGGGGATTCCAGTTGAACCCACAACCGCAAGGTCTGTAACGAGTCAGGCTGCCACCCAATCTACTTGACCACCACCATACTCGTTTTAACACTTGATATATCTTCACAATACTGAAGATCGCAAAGTGCTGAAATGCACCTGACAGACTAAGCCAGTCAAAATATGCAGATCAAAATGATCGGAAATGACCAAATTACTTAATAATTATCTGATTTTTGTGTAATCCATAGTGTATTTACCTAAAACACACTGAATCATTTACGCTTAATAATAATACAAAAAACAGCAACCAAATTACAAATATTTTGACAATTTGGTTTTTAAAATTCTTTATATCATTTTAACCAGGAGAAACCAAAGGACCCTTGGACCTCTTTGCATTTGTTATATTTAGTTAAAACCAAAAGGATAACTCCTCAGGATAAACAAACAAAGATTAATTACATTAAATACATTTAAGATTTCACATTCATATAAATCCTGCCACCAACAAATTCTTTAAAAAAAAAATTATCTGGTTTAATCTGTCAAAAAAAAATTAATCTATACTTTTGCAATTTTGCCACTTTATGATTGGCATACCTATTGCCATGACATCGTAAATGAAAACAATTGAGAGTTTCAGAATGTGTCTTAAATTTTGCACTGTTTATCAATTCAGGTTTGCCATCGTAGTTTAGTTTTATGTAAATTTGTTCATGCGCACTTGTGTATGATTATAATTATGAAATGTCAGGCCGTTTTTTCATGCTTCACAAGCTCGTGCTACATAGTGCGTACAACAAAAATATTAATAAAAAAATAATAATAATAAAATAAAAAAAAGAAGTCAAAGTCTTTGGTGAAAACAGAAGACAAAAATCAATTCAAGCAAGTTCAGGAAGAAATCTCAAAATATAAATCAATCTAATCCATAAGTTGAAAACTAATCCATTATTCCAGGTTTAATATTGTTTCATTTTATAAATATAATAACAAAAAATATATTTTTTGAGGAGAGAAAAAATATCAATGACCTACCTTTAAAATTTTCAATTTCAATAATAAAATGGTAATTTAACAGGCACGGTTAAAAACGTTTAAACTTATAAGACCTGTTATATAATAAATTATTTCAGCTCGTTGTGCCTTTAGCAAAAATAAATTGTTCTCTCCCTATCTTTCTTTGTTCAAAAACCTATTATTAACAAAATGAAAATTGTGGTTCCAATTTAAGATAGGTATATGAAATCTTTTTATTTTATTCTTCCACTTACTAAACATATATACATATTAAAAATACAGTTATTTAAATAAACCCTTGATTGCACAAATAAAATAATACTAAGTTACAATTTCTATTTACAATTACAATGATAATAGTAATCACTCATATCAATTTATCAACACCTTTAAGTAAAGATTTCAACATTTTATGTACATAATCACAATTTATTAAAACAATAGAAATAACTTTCGACTTCCGTCTTTTATTATGCAGTTAATAATATCGGGGACAAATAAAAAATAAAAATAATAATTTAGAGCAAATAAAATGCATTGTCTAAATAAACATGCATTAACAAAATATACAATAATGTTTCACTAATTCCACCAATACATCACTTTAAACATATACCTAGTTGTAATGGAGCATACAGAATTTTTTCTTTTCTTTGTTGTACAAAATAAAAAAAATTTGGAGTAAAAATTTTGAAAATAGATAAGCCAAAATCCTGAAATCCATCATACCTAAATAAATGATATCTTCAAAACAAAAATCAAAAACTTTAAAAGACTAGAAAAAATTTATCACAGCAACACCAGCATTACCTTAAATTTTCACAAATCTGAAAATATATGGAAGATGGGCATATTTTGGCAATTAAATCTTCTATTAATTTTGAGCGTAATGTTGTCCATTGACTGTTAAAAAAAATTATTATAAATCAGACATAAAAGAATGTAAGCTTTTGAACTAGTAGACAGATTTACCAATTTATAGATTGCATCAATAATTGTCTGATTTATTATGGTATTAATTTGTTTAATGATCAATAAGGGATTTTCATTTTTAAATTTATTGCAGAATTTTAACATTGTCTTGTTTTGTTTGACATTTTTGCAAAATTAAAAGTTCTTGTTTTGTCTAAAATTGCACCTTGTTTATAACAATTGAAAACTTTCAATTTTTTGAACCAATTTAGAAGTTAAAATAAGTAATGTAAATGAAAAATGTTGATGGTTTTTCATCTCTACCTAAAATTAACAAATGATTCCATGCATCAAAATAACAGTACTTCCAATTTCAGAATCTGGCAAATAGATTTTCAAAAAAAGAAAAAAAATTAAATATAGTTTTGGCACCTATATTCTATCTCCACAAGCAATTAGTTCTGTGGAATGAATTAACAAAATGAATGTTTAAAAAAATTAACTAAAGGTAAATTTAAAGAGAAAAAAAAATGTAGCAAAACATTCTGGATGACAAGCAGGCAGTGCGAGTGGGGAAATGTGCACTTGCAAATCTGGATTGTTTATGTATTATCAATTCTAAATGATTAGAAAAAAAAGAAGCAATCTCACATATTAAATAAAATATAAGTTACAAAAATGCTCATAGCTTGACATGACACAACATTCTTTGTGAGTGCTTTTAGCATGATTTCAGGCTGAGAAAAATTTGAATTCAATCAAATTTGAATTAATAAAATGGGATATGACAGAAAGGATTAAAATAAAATAAAAAATTCTCAGCAAGAAATTGTACAAAGGAAAAATAATAATAAAATTGTAAAATGAAAAAAAAAAAAAAAAAAAAAAACATTCTGTGGCAATTGCTCATTGGTATAATCTATGTACATTGTGATATTTATAAATAATTAAATATCCATTTTAGAGCAATGTTGAAAGACTCAAGTGAGAAACAATACTCGATTTTAGTTATTTATAAACAAAAATAAAAAGCAATAAATAAATTACTAATTATGAATGACTTTTTAATGCATTATAACTGACAATAAGTTACAAATGTAAATTTTTTATAAAAGAAAATAACTTTCAAAAGTACAGAATTTTGAAATTTAAAGTATGGTTACAATCAAATAAATGAGTGAAAATCCTTATGATTTTATGTGTACAAATGTATTATGAACAAGAGAAAATGCATTCAAAAGTCAATTCAAAAAATTTAGTAAAGTTATCTTAATAAATTAGTCAAGGAGCAATTGTACAAGAATTTTGTTAGTTAAACACACTTTAGAAAATGCACTTTTGTTGGGTCTTAAAAAAAGTAGTAAAAGGAAAATACAACTTTTATGTATAGCAAGGAAAATAAATATATAAGAAAAGGAAATTGTCGGGTTGTTTAAATTGTGATTAAAACAATTGCTGGTTTTGAATTTTAAGTGGAAGGAACATGTAGATATGTGAGGTCACTACAACTTTTCGTGTACCTCATCGTCATCCTCCTCCGCTACGTAAGAAGCGGGTAAACTGCCGGCTTTGTGCTGTCGCTTTGGATCAAAAGGATCGACCACAATTTGTTCAGTGCCTTTGATCTCCGCCCGGCAAAATGGACAACCCTGACCTTCTGAATCCTGAACAATAACAAAAAAAAATCTAATCAGCTCTTAGCCAATGTGTACAATAATTTAAAGTAGATAATAAAATTAATATGTTTTAACTTAATTTGACTAGATTTGGAAGTCGGAGCATTATAATTCTGTGATTTTCTTTTTAAAGGAATATTCCAACTAGGATTAATTATAGTTACTAACTCAAAATAATAAAATAAGTTCCACAATTTATTAATTGTCATTAACTGTTTTATTTCGGAGATTTAAACAATGGGATAATGTGAGAGGGGAGTTGTTAAATATATAAATGGATTGGAAACAAATATTGGAGAGAATAGCAAAACATTTAACATAAAACAAAACAATAGATAGCACGCTAATTCCATAATATTAACTCTGAATGATAATGAACTATTCCCTTAACCCTAGCTCCCCACTCAATGGCCACTAGCTCGCAGCGCTACTTTGTCTATCTAAAAAGTTGCAAACGCTAGAAAATTTTACAGGATTATTGAACAAACCTGCCACGAAGTGAGGCAAGGAGTACAGAGGAGGTGGCCACATGGTTCTATTCTCACGTCTTTATCGTTCTCTGCACAAATTTTGCATAACTGGAACGTTGAACCCATTTCACAGTACAGTTCATATTGCTCTTGGGTGACTTTGATATGGTCTTCAGGTGTAGACTGGACCGCCCATGACAGATCAGGATTTACATTTCGCCCATCAGGGTATAAATAACTAAAAACATATTAATTAACTTTTTAATATGATAAAGAATAATATAAATTACTTACAATCCTTCTCTATAACCGTCTAAAAGAGCTTGACATAAGGACTTGTTTTGAGGTATCGTTTGCAATATATCGCCATCTGCTGTTACATACCCAATAGCCCATTGGCCTAACCTTGTACAACTTAGTCTAAAAACATAACTAAAAAACATACAAAAGTAATATTAGAGTTTTTTTAAAACTTAAATGGTTGAAAAATATTTGTAAATATATTTATACCTTCCAGGTTTACTTATGTATTTATGTAACCTTGCTTTGACCTCGTCGTAAGTAAGAAAAGCTACATAACCTGGATGGGTAACTGCAAGGATTTGCCAGTTCCTCAATAACGAAGTCCAGGGTTGAAACAATCTGGAAAAATAATTTAATGAAAAGCGTAAAAAAAAAACTGATGACCGAGAAAAAGAAAAGTACTACCTACCTTGTAAATACATCAAACTCAAAATTTGATATGTAGTCATTGCATGTCAGATCAATAGTGGATTTCAAAGCCATGGCTTCTAATCCAGAACTAATGGGGTGGACTTCGTTCAAGACCTGCCTGAACACTTTCCAGGGCGCTAGAGTGCTGTAAAAAAATAAATCAAAATAAGTACACACAGGCATATATATTTTAATTTATTTTATATTATGATTTGTGAGCTAAAAATCGAAATAAAAATCTATTTCTCATTATAAATTTTTTTAACCAACCAACTTTACGAAAACAACACCCAATTTAAATAACTCGTAAAGCTTGACTTGAAATACATATCTAAAAGGCACAATTGATGATGCCATATTTACAAAAGAGTAAACCTGATTGATTAGGTGAGGTTTGATTGATGGTCTACACATTTTTTTTTATACTCATCCATCTTTCTCCCAGTTCCTAATCCAATGAGTGGTCCCTTTCCATTTCCGTCCACGACAAACAACTGCTCTTCATTATTTAATGAGCGAATAAATCGTTAAGAATTTGGTAACAAAAACCGAGTTGAAAATGGTAATATTATTGCTTTAATGTTCAGATGAATGAATTAAAATTGAATCTTGCTATTAACCACTAATAGTTAAAATGTGAGCATATGTCTGATATTTTATAAGCTATTAATTATCTATTATTATTATTTTAATTTAAAACAGAACAATTTGGTGCTGGTACAATGAAAGTTTTCTCAAGATGAGATGAACTTAAATTCATAATTAACATAATGTTTTTATAGTTCTTTACTTATCAAGAACGATGCAAAATACTGATTCTTTGAACATCTTGAAAGAGTTGGGATAATTTATAAAATTTTAATTGAAACACAATGTAAGGCTAATACTAGTTGAGAGAAACTCACAAGCAAAGAGCATTGGTGATTTTTCTGTTGACTTCAGACTGGATGTAATGTGTGCATTTCAAAGTTCAAAATACATATAAGGACTTACTTGATCATGTCATATTAATATTGAACATTTGTCAAGTATTGTGAAATGTGAAGTCTGCACAGTTATGAACATGTAATGTGTAACTTGACCATCCCTTATCTTCCTAGTCTGCTTATTCTTGCTGATTATTCCTGAGATATGTTTGTCTCTATGCTGCTATTTGTCACATTAAGGTTTAATAAGTTTGTTAAGTATGAAATATTATATTTATATTTCTTCCATTCAAATCTATATGGTCCAAGCATACAAGGACATTTGGAGATGATTAAATTTCAGATATGAGGTTTTTTTTAGAGACTTTTGTCTATTTACTAACAAGGGGAGTTATGGGATCACTAATTTTAATGAAACTTTTTTGGTGATAATAGGTCGAAAAATACTAGACAATGTGTTCTTGCCTACAGGCCCTATGAGCCATTTATGAATGTATTTCAAGGTCAGTTGATTTGTGTTTTTTATGTAGAATAAAAAAATAATATGCAGGATCATATTAAATGAGATTCCATTTATAAATCTATATGGATGGAAAATCAGTGTAAATAAGAATAAAACCTACGCTATGGTTTTCACAAAAAGATGACCAATGTAGATCATTTAGGGGTAAAAAAGATGTCACTGGTGCCACGAATATTGTATTATGTATTATATACATATGCATGTAAAATAGAGTAAATAAACTTTTATTATTTATATCTATAAAAAGTTAAAAAGCAAAAGAAGTTTCAAGGAGGTAAGTTTTTTAAATAATTCAAATTTGTTTTAAGCACATAGAATACCAAATTTTCATAATAAAGAAAAGAAGACATTTTTTGGATGGATTGACTGAGGGCAATTTTTTTCCTGCCGATGTCTGATGGTCCACTTCAAATGAAATACCTCTTCTGGATTTAATTCAAATTCTAAGTTATAACAATTGTTGTAAAGCGGAGTGTTTCCTTTTTTAGACTATGTCAACAACATTTAGATTTTATATTATTATAAATGAGAAAAATAAAGATGAAATAAAAAATAAGAAATACAAAACTCTTGTAACATTTTATTTCTCCAGTTATAATTTATTTAAGAAAGCAATTTTTGTATCATTATATGTAGTTTGTAGGGTTCTGGAAATTGTCTGGCGGATGAGAATTAAGTGACAAAGCTATTAGACAAAAATCAACAACAAAAATTTTGAGGGGAAAAATTATTTTCAGGGGGTTTTAGGGAAAAAAGTAAACCTACATTTCTTGTGAAATTGTTTTGTTTACCTATTTTATGTAGCTCACATTCTACTTCAAAATATAATATTGAAATGCATTTGGTTTTAAGTGGGGATGATCACTAATGACCAAACTACAAATATGCTTGAAGTGGAATATACATTTTATTTAGAATAGGGGGAGTAGTGAAGTAGTTTTGATGCGGGCTGACTAGTGGTTTCATGATTTAAATGATCTTGATACTGGAAGGGATCACATGGAATTCTGTTGTTTCTCAAAAATTAAAAATATCCTGCTCTTCAGAAATGAAAATATCCATGGAAAAAAAAGAAATGTTTGATTTTCAGTCATGCTTAATAGTTCTACGTAGCTTGACTCTTTTTGCAGTTCATGTCTACACTCCTTACTGAGTCCATATTATTTATTATTACCTTCCTGAAGTTTGATCATTATAAATAACTTACAATTGTTCATCCAATTATGCATTTTTTTGCAATTAGCTATTCATTATACATGTAAACAGAAGAAATTTAAATACTGAAGGCAATTGTTCATCCAATTATGCATTTTTTTGCAGTTAACTGTTTATTTATTTACGTAAACAGAAGAAATTTAAATACTGAAGAAAAAGCGATTTAAATTGCACTGCAGAATGGATGAAAAATACATAGTGTTATTACATTAGAGAAAAAGAACTGTGTACAAAAGCTTTATGTCAAAATACTGCTCAAGGGAGTTGAAAGGAGAAGGTAATTAAAAATAAAATACTTTGAAGTTTGGGAGAGAGAAAAATCGAACCCCTGTTGAAAGAGAGAGTTAAAGATATTAAAGTGACATCAAAAGAGAGAATAAAAACTGTAAAAAAAGTCTCCTCTTTAATTACGACCCAATTAAACAACAAACTTGGCATATTTGTAGTGTCAGTTGTCACCCCGCTGGGAAAAGGAAATTCTCGATGTGCTTTAGATCACCAACATGTCTACCTTGTGCGTGGCACATATTACAAATTAGGCAATTTGTCTACATGCCTGTAAAACGAGAAAGTGACACGGTTGTCCGGTTAGGTAGCAACCATGTTAAAGGACAGTAAATTTTAGTAGTAGATTCTCCATTTTGTAGAAATATATTGTTGTCTGCACCGTACGTGACATGGAAAATGATGGTGTCAGCAACGTTTTACACAAAATAAAATGCTTTTGTGTAATAAGTCTCAATTACTTAAAAATTTAGTTCAAGATCTTAGCTTCACTAGTAATTACTCATCCATTAGACAAGCACATTCTTTATAATTTTAATGAAATTAATGTTTTAATTCATGAATTTATAATAATTTAAGAACATGTGCTGGTAGGACAAAATATTATGGAAAAGAAATAATTGCTGTAGTATAATTGCACAAATGAATGTACTAAATAGACGACATGAAAATATTGCATTTTGATACTATGTCATTAATATGTTAAATATTTGTTGATAAATTTATTAATAATATGGGTCCACCAAGTTTTGGAACCGAGGGGGCAAATTACTTTATATTCTTCTTATTTCTTTAAGGAAATATGGGGCTGTATGCCCATCGATATGAATTGGCAACTGAAAAACGATCAAACATCAAGAAACGCGTTTGTCATGCTGTATATAATAATCACTGATCAAATCATGATGTTACAATGAATTTATTTTCCCTAATCGTCACAGGTGTGAAAATTAAAACAGTTATTGATGACAGAATGTACATGCATTAAAAATCTTGTGTAGTTAATGTTAGACTAGCCGGGATAGAAACTGAAGGTGATAACATTTAAACTGTTAATTTCTATAGAGTGAGGAACCTGTAGTTTGATCTCTCAGGACAATCTATCAAATCTTTAGATCTATCCACTTCTTGATGATTTAAACTAAAGTACGTTTTTCTGTCTTCCATCAAAAGTCAAAATAAAATAATAAAAAAATACGTGTAGGTAAAAGTGTGTATGTGTGCGCGGGCGCGTGCGTGCGTTCGTGCATGCGTGAGAGAGAGAGAGAGAGAGAGAGAGAGAGAGAGAGAGAGAGAGAGAGCTTAAGTTTTTTTAAAAATCGAATTTACGTTTATTTTGCTTTCCGTAAGAAAAAAAATACGTGTAGGTAGGTAGGTGAAAAATAGAACAAAAAGGCAAAAAGGGAGAAAGAGAGACACCTGATAGAAGGTTCTGTTATAAATCTACAAAAGACTAAATAACACACAAACCAACAAAATATTGTGCAGACTGAGATTTCTCCTCATGAGAGAGGAAAATTCACACGGGAGCCCTTTAACGTTTTGAGATCTGACAAAAAGCCTAGCTTAACGAAGAGGCAAACTCATATAAATGTTAACCTCAACCACTGAAGATGGCGATGTATCAAAACGCGTATGATAGATCAATGAGGAAGTCCCGGATGATAGGAATCGGCAAGTTCATTACCAAGCAGATCATAAAAAGGAAATCCCTCAATTCAAAGGTTTTACTTTAGCATCTTAAAAAAAAATACGCATCCTGTTAGTTTTTTACCTGTTATCAGTTGAGGCGCTATTCCAAACCCATAAGCTGAACAATCATTAAAACTTTCAAGTCATTTATAGTAATTCGCCCATGTGGAACAAGAGATTCCAAGGCTCTAAACCCCGGTACATCGTTTCTATCCAGTATCACCGAAGCCAGTGACTCCCCAAAAGAGCTAAATCGGATTTCCACCTAAATGCATTCCTTCCCAAGGACAAACTTATCCCTTAAGTTTCGCATTTTCCTCCTAAAGTAATTTCAAAGCCGAATCCGAGCTCTCACGAAATGCTCCGTTGGGTTCATGGGCCAAGCCGAAGGGGATAATGCCTCCGATGATTGTTATTATTAAGAATTAAATTAAAGCGACAAAAATAAAGTAATTTTAAAATTTTAACGCCTGTTAGGAGAATTTTAGCTTCCAAACCGAAGTA